TGCGAAGTGTATCGGGGGATGCATGCAGGGCGATAGTGCGGGTTCGAATCCCAGGTTATGTCTTAAAAAAAAGGAGAAAATTATAAGAATAATAACATCTCTATGCTTTTTTTGTCTAGGTCATCAAGGCAAAAAAGCATAGCGTAGGGCCCTGAGCTTCCAAGCTCTCTCGTTGCATTCCCAACTCCTCACAACCACTCGCTCTCAACCGAACCATACAGACACCAGCAAGGACACTTCCGTTGAGAGATAAACGAAACAAAACAAGTCAAGTTTTTGCATTTTTTTGCAGAATTACCATATCGAACGTCGGCCCGTTATTTTGAGCTCTGTAACGTTTTTCCGTTACCCGATAACGTCTTTTGTCACGGCTGGGAGTGAGTACGGCTCAGGCTTTTGAGCCATTTGGTTTACCAATTTGAGTGCCGGAATTGTGGTAGCCAGTACGTTGGTAGGACCCTTCAACACCTGACCGCACGGATCAAACAGCATGTACCGCTGCATATTCTGCCGGATGCAGCTAAATCCAAGCGGCCGAAACGTGGTCGACCGCGCACGAACCCACCCCCTTTGCCAGTGGTACAGACTGAGCCAACACAACATTCAGTGCTGTGTGGGAGAGCTAGGCCAGACTGAGCCCACACAAAATGCAGTGCCGTGTGGGAGAGCTAGGCCAGACTGAGCCCACACAAAATGCAGTGCCGTGTGGGAGAGCTAGGCCAAACCTAGGCCCAAGTTGGCAACCCCATCAGCATCACCATTGCCCTTGCCACCACCGGAACCGCCACCGGCTCTTCTTGTGGCGGGGGCTGGGGTGGACCCATCTACACCCACGCTGGCATCACCAACTCTCACACAAATTACCCCGGCGCACGCTAGGGTCCAGCGGATTCTGCCGGCAGAAAAATTGGCAGAATTCGGTACTTTTTCTGGTAAGTTTCATGCATGTTTGGTATGTGGATAAAGAAATGGAGCAGAATTCGAGGAATTGCACGCCATTAGGTTTGAATGGTTCTGCCAATTTTACTGCTTTTCGAGCAGAATCTGCCAACTTTTCGAGCAGAATCCGCCGGTCCCTAGCGCACGCACACCTACTCAGCAAGACAGGCAATGCAGACATCTCACGGAACCTACACCCTTAATCCAGAGACCTCGGAGGGTAACAGCAAACTAATACATAGGGATTTATGCCAGAAACGGCCAAGGACCGCGCGTTGCGGATAGTACCAACAGGAGGAGGGTCGAGCAGTATCATGTCGTGTCAGTGAGTTAAGCGGATCTGGAGGAACAATGCCGGTCACGGGATGAGCAGCTAGCAAATGGGAGACAAGTGGTCTGTACAGAAACGGAGGATGAGAAGAAGATGGAAGAGGAATACGAAACGGTCGGTGAAGAGACAGAGGACGAGGTGGTGATGACGATCGTGCGGATGACGAGCGGAGCGAGGAAGAGGACGATGAGATGGATCAGGGGTGTCGGATGGGAAAGAGCGAGGTTAGGCGGATGAATGTGTTGTTCGTAAGAAGTCGGCTGTGTATCTACACTTGTTATCTCGTCCTGACTGTCTTAGTGTGTATGATGACTCTCATTTTTCTGTACTGTGTCGTGCGCATTATGTCCAGCAGTTGAAAGCCCTTGAGGCAGTTTGTATACGTTGTATACGTATTCATCAGCCTGTTTTGTGTAAGCTAAAAGAGCACGTTGTTGCACTTACTTCGAAGTAGGTTGTATTCTTAGGTTGACACTTCGTTCAGTGCCTTCTCACCTTTGGCTACGTAATCTTGTTACCATTTTGCGTGTCCTCCAGTGATTTTATTGCACTTGTACAGTGAGTATCGTTTATAAAGTGACCGGGTGTAACGATATAGCGGCTATAATGATCGAACTCGCCAAAATCAAAATCAAATCACAAAAAATACAGCTAAAATATCACTATACACACTATTATCGGCTATACCGATATATCGCTTATTGTGATGGGCTTCAGGAAGCAAACCACATCAAATGCACAGGAAAATATCGTATATACTGATCAAGAGTGATGATCACAAAACAATTGTTCTTCAAATTTAGTTAGTTTCTTCCAAACTGATCCAGTGTTGCCTGGATGCATCTGGCAGCAGACGTGATTGAGAGAAAATTCTTCCCTGTATGCTGTAAGCAGCCACATGTACACATGGCTGCTTTTCATGCTTTTTCCAGCATGTACGCATCATTTCATGCACAGTCATGTGCCATGTGTCAGTCATACATGCAAATCGGCTATAGTGATGCACCGGTTATAGTGATAAATTATCGAAAATCAAAGGGGCACGTTATATCCACTATTTACTGTATCATGATTTTATGTGGCATTTCTAACACCTTTCTATTCTTCAGTTTCATTGGTTGGTATCCTTTAGTTCCGTATTTTTCCCCACTAATGATTGGAACGAGAACATGGATTCTGGGTTTCAACATTATTGTTATTAAATACACATACCGGTACATGTAGTTCCGTGATGTCTGCGGCCTTCATCATATTCGTGACTATATTAATTCCTCGCAGATTATTCCTATGATAATAATTAAAAAAAACGGTGACAAAACACATTTAGGCACAAGTAGCAACCACTTTGCCACACTCTACAACAAACATTATTTGAACAATTTTATGGTAATAATACAATCTTTCTTGACAAACACATATTCGACCTAAGATTACGCTGACAAAATAGCTTCCAAAGCGTTTAACAGCAACAGATAACCATGACGAGCATGGCACAAAACAGAAAAAACATGAATTAGAATAAGCACAGCAACAGTCAGTACTAGAGACCAACATAATGATTGTGCACGGAACATTTCCTATTACGAAACGCACGCACATAACATAAGTGTCGACTCCCACACACACCCTCATACTCACTCTCTTCCTCACTCAGCTCACCTTCTCCTTCACTACTCGAATCACAACTTTCTCCATCATCTGAATCGGTTTGACTCTCTTCCTCATTCACTTCGTCCTGCATCACACCATCACCATCAACGCAAGCCGTAGATGCCGCTGCTTTCATGTCGGTCGTCGACCTCTCCGATTGTTTCCGTTGTATGTTTACTGTGAATTCATAAGGTCCTGTTCAATGTGTTGTAGTTTGCTGTAGATCTGCGTGGTCTGTCATTTGCTGCCTTGTATTGTGGATTCGTTGCAGTTGTTGCTGCCATTTATATTGTTTTCGTATCGTCTCCATCGCTTGACATTGTTTAATAAAGTAATCCAATTTCACTTCAGCTCGTTCTCCTTATTGCAATAATAAAATTGTTGTCTTCTTGCCGAATATTAGAATAAAGACTCTTCTCAGATTGATTCTTGTCTTACGATTGTATTTGCAGGGTGTTGCAACATCATCCGTATCACTGGGCTAACGTGATTGTTTGTACTTGTTGCGTGTGGCTGGCAGGTACCAAGAATTCACACAACGAAATGTAGCCTGCTGCTCCCTGTTGATATGTGGATGACGTACATGTACAGCAGTGGTGTTTGGTTCACGGCTTTGCAAGGTTGAGATCGAAAAGGGACCCAGCGAACATACATAATTATACTTTCGCTCCTGCTCTTGTAGCAGTTGAGCACTTATGCGTGGGGTAGTGCCTTTGCTGTTTGCGTTATGCAGAGCTCACTGACTTGTCAGTTTGAGCACTCTGGCAAGGTACGTTCGGACCTGATTGGAAATTTTTATTTCCATTGCTATCAGGTTCGGCCTCATTTCCTCTGTGCTGCGCTGACGAGTCCACAAAGGACGAAACAGTTCTGTCCGCAGATTGAGTCTACTTGAAGTACATGTATGACGCGAAAAGCCATTCTCCTGACTGAGTGATTGATTGACAACCCATTTAAGCATGTCTTGGTCTTGTTTTGACAAGTGATAAGTCCTGTCAATGCGATGGCGGATGGCGCCGGGAGCAAGTCACTTGTCAGGCGATGACAAGCATAGATCTACATGTACTGCGCAATGCTAGTACCGCCCATGCAAACTGTTACATGCGCATGTACATGATTTCTGATGAGATCATGACTTCTACCTATTCAGTATTGTCAGTTGAGACAGCACCCAATACAAGTAATTAGTTGGAGTGCATAGCACTAGTTGACTGGATTCACACGCGTTTGCTCCAACATCACCACCATGGCAGGAACCACCATGACAAACTACTCTGACGTAATGCAGACAAGCAGAGATCCACTACACTAGGCAACTGTACGTGCAGATGGTCTACGTGTATGTGAATGATGAGAGTACGCATGTTTTGGGGGAATTTTGTGACATTTTTCAGCTAAGCTAGGACTACTTGTGCTGTGTGCTGTGCACCAAACCAATGACTATGACGAATAATGGGCTCAGGTCTGGTACCACTCGACTAGAGCGAGGTCCAGTGGTGATGCGATGTTGTCACGACAGTAGATTTCAAACAGGATAGTCATGGGCCATCATCGCCGTCATCCGATGCTAAATCTTCTCCGTTTCACGTATTCCTTTCACTCTCGCCTCTCTATGTGCGTCATGTACGTTTTACACCATTATGCGTCAATCATGTGTTTTTATTGCTGATATGGAGACCCGTCGACAGGCCTTCCAGCCTCTGGGGAATCCGGAAATAAATAAGTACAAAATCAATTACGAGATATTGCTGATATCATGAAGCTGTGTTCGAATGACGACATGCGAGCCGTAGGTAGCACTAGCTGGGTGATGAATGCCCACGATCTGGTGTGTGCACGAGAAGGGCGCATGCAATAATTCCGTAGTCTATGGTACCGGTGCTTCAACGATCTACCGCGCTGCTGAATTTCAGTGACACATTACGCTGCGCCTCCAGGAGTTGAGGAAAATTTCCCTTATGATCAAGTCGCCCGAGGGCAGCAGTCATGCGTCATAGAAAAGGGCGCCACTGATCCGTGATACACTCATTTATGAGGAATGCTTATACCATCCTAGCTGACCTTCGACTGAGATAACCATCGCGACAAGGTTCCTCAAATGTGCGATTGGTGTCCAGTTGCCAAACAGGCAGTGGTACGCTGCATTCCAAAGTATAAGAGGACGACTCGAGGAAACAATTTCTCACTCAGGAGTTAGGAGAGACTGCAATTAATTTGGTACCATGTCTCGTCTTACCAGTAGTGATGGTGTTAGCACCAAGATGAAAAGCCCGGGGAACACACACTGCCTCCTGATCGGAGCAGCGGAAAATCCGCAAAAGATCGGAACCAATGTTGATGGGGACAAGGTTCACTATTTTGACGAAGATCTGAAGCCGGTCTTCAACAGCATACGGAGCGATCTCGCCAAAATGGCGAATTTCTGCGGTCAATGGGTCAAGGATGTGCCTCAGCTGGGCCAAATGGTGAGTATGGTTCCTTCTACGAAGCACCAACGACTTACTGCGAACACTCATGATTCTGTCCTATTGTGTTCCACGATCGCTGAAGATTACCTTCGGTTAAAAAGACTACAGGGTATACATGAGTCTGTGTGCACTCTTGTTTACCTTTTGCTTGCGTTATGTCACTCAGAAACAATCCCGCGGATCGCCAAAACCGAAATGGAAATCTCCCATTCTTGTTTCTTTGGTGTTGAGTGATGACGGCCTCCAACCAAGTAAAGAAAACTCGGCGCTCACACCCGGAGCTCAAAAGCTCATGGAAACCGCTCCAGTCACCACCTTCAAGTCTAAGGATGAGGTAAGGACACAGATATTGAGATAATCGCTCTCCAACACTTTGTACATGTACTTGCGCTAGTGTGAATAGTATAATATCGAGTATCTCAAGTCACGCATTTGAACGTTACTCAACAGCACATTGATTTTGCCATGTGAATGTGTGGTGTTTTGCTTCTACATGGCACTGTGCAGGTCCGTGAAGAGATCAAAAACTTGATTGGCAGAAAAACACCGGACGACAACATCATCATATTCTTTGCTGGACACGGGTCGCAACATGTCGTAGTACGGCTCGATTCGGAGGAAGCCGTGGTAACATCAACAGTCGAGCCTGATTACACACAGGCGAGCCCAATAGCACCCACTGTCCAGGAGTTGTCGGTTCCTACATCAACAATTGAACATTCCTTTCAGCTTCCCTGCGTCAACGTCTTCGGTAAACGTGTGATGGACAAGTATACGGATACGGAGCTGACAACTGACGTAACGCACAATCTCACAGGCGACAAGAAGGTTTATCTTGTTCTGCACTCATGCCATAGTGCCGGAATGCTGCATGGTTGGCAGCTAACGTTACCTCAGAAACAGCTCCTAAAGGATTTGTCAGTGGCTGTATTTGCCAGTGCTAATGCAGAGCATACTACCCAGTGGACTAGTCTGGATGGCAGCAACGATTTCGTTTCAATCTTCACGCAGTACGCTACTCCAGGTCGCTCTCTGGTGGACATCCAGGCGGATATATTCCGTGCTTCTGTGTCTGCAGACGCCAACGCCACTCCGCAGCTCATCACCCTGCGCCCGGAGCAGAGCAAGGAGCATTTTCTAGTCAGTGCACTGCCAGTGTCGCACCAAGCGGCGCATGTATATCATTGAGGAACTACATTATCACTAGTGTATATATCAGTTCTTGAATTTGACTCCAAGAATCTATTACGCCGTGGTAGTATAGGAAGTTTACGTGTTGATCAGGGAGGTGGTATTGCTTGACTATCGATTTTGTAATCGCCTGTCAAAGCCGATTCTAAGATAGGCCTTCGTTTCGTTTCATCGCTAGTATTCGTTCCGTTGTTGCAAAATGTTAATTGCATGGTATCTATTACCGATTATTCTAAAATGAATTTCAATCCGCCCACTATCAGACCATTCTCAAGAAACGTTGCTTTGTTTAGCCAATACCTTTCTAACTAGACTTTTGGGAGGTCTGTAACTAGAATAATGTACAACGTATACGTGGAACACTGCTGCTGCACATACTGGTTATGCTGCTTGAGTTAGTGTACATTGGCATACATTCATGTCCATCATACTCTTGAAAATCCGAACAAACCCTCTCGAAGTGTATGCCATTGCTAACCTTTTTGTCCCAGGAGCGGTGTTCTTTCACATTTCAATGATTTCAGTGTCTTGTCGTACTCGTGAACACAAATGAACGCTTAGTGTGCGCTGATCCAGCATGCAAATCGATCTGCATTACATGCATGCTCTGCTGGGTCCGACCGTTGCCATTGAACTGCATATATGCACTAGAGCATGCGTCTTGCTTAGTCATAGATTCAGAATCTGAGGTCATTTAGTGCTAACGTTATGGCGACTTTTTGGTGCCATTGAAGGGGAATTTAAGGGGGTTTTATGGAAACAGTTTCGTTGCTTTGTCGATCCCACACCCACCGCAGAAAGGCTTAAAGCGCCAAAGAGTAGAATGGCTCTTGTCAACTGTCCTGTTTACCACCAAACTAGGGACAATTCCTCACCACCTGTCCCTAGAGCTGAAGCCACAAGGCGACGATCTGACAGAAAGGGACGATGAGTCATGGAGCGGATATGCCTATCTCCAGTGTGGTTGTGTCGATCAATATGGTCCTATCCTGGGAATAGGAACAGCTATGCACCATTCCAGACATATTTGCACGAGACTGGAGCATGATGGGATGTCAAGACAAACCCTCTTACCTGCTCACACCATACAATCTGTTTACCCTCTCAGACATGCAGTTCAAGTTCATTACGTACACAAGGCCACCGCTGAGAAACGTGAACTCGACGTGAATAATCCTTCGTATGATGTCATTCCGCCCTCCCCGACTCATCCGTGCCTCCAGCGTACAGGTGCGTCATCAGAGGAGACATCACATACTAGCATTTTCCCCTTCTTAGTGCAGCGTTGTTATAAGTACTAGGGATTTCCTCATTCAGTCAAACATTAGTCGCATTGTGCTTCAGAGTAGCGTTGGAGCTGGAGTGAAATATACTGCAGTGAACACCCTCCCTAGTGTGCTTTCCCCACGAGTTTGTTTTGCCTATCTGTGGGAAGGAAAGCCTCGTTTAGATATTTCTTCTCCAATCAGACCATCACACCCAAATTTACATTTCAGGCGCTGTCTTGACCTCTCCGGGCCACCTTACCAACCATCTTCAGCTGCCCAATGTCGTGGCAATTTGGGACCGATGGAGCAGCCTCGGCGGCACCCTCACCTCCTCCCGGTAGAACGGAATGTCTTCTTATCGGTGCTGCGGAGGAGCCCGATAATGACAGCCTTGGCGTAGACGAAACGCTCAAGCGCCTACATAACTCAGTTAAAAGCGACTTGGGAAAGATGATTGAATTCTGTGCTGAATGGGCGAAGGACGAACCTCCCAAAAAGGTAGGCGTGCTGAATCGATGGAGATGGTTCTGGGTGTCGGTCTTGCTGTGTCTCATAGCACGTGTGATGTGAGAAATGAGACTGTTAATCCCTTATTATTAACAGTGTAAAAAGGGCACGTGGCGGATTAAACTACTTCTTCCTTGTTGCATGCTTACAGAAGATACGTGCTTGTAATTAATGTTAGGAACACTGGTAGGTAGTGTGTTACTGTCTGCAACTCTTGCGACGCGCCACCCCATCATGCCCATGTCATCCAAGTGTGACGGTGTCTCCTGTTCATTAAGTTAACTTGATTCATAGCCTCTGCACTACTGGAATACCAGTAATAGAGGCGATAGGAGATCTTTGGCGATAATTGCGAGGCACCGTTTTCATATCAAATATCTGCGTCAAGGTAGAAAAGAAGACAATGTTTCCGGTGAAACTGTCAGTGGCATACCAACGTCTAAAGAATGGTATAAAGCGAATTGTTAGTTTTCCGTTGCCTTGCCGCAGAATCTCTCAAACGGGTTTACATACATGTCAAGTACAAGGTTTTGCATTGCTGCGAGGGTATTTAAATCTGATGGGAAAAGAAAAAGAGAAAGGACTCGGATGGAGAGCCAAGGATACATTTTATAGAAAAGAAAGAGGACCAAGGAACTACAAGTTACGCTATAATGTCCACTAACACCACCAGTCAGTAGTTACTACTGAACTAAAACGTGTCGTGCAATGTTATCGCATGAGCCAATAATTGTTTAGTAATGGATGGTGTTAGTGGACATTATAGCCTAACTTGTAGTTCCTTGTCCTTTGTCTTTTCTAGAAAAAAAGAGAAAATAGGTCATTTTGACTAACACCTAGCATTCCGTGCATTCCGTATTAATTTAGAAATAGGCCGAATACCTCGTGGTGTACCATTAATTTTATAAATAGATGTACAGATTGAGTAGACAGTTAATCTTTGTACAGATTGAGTATATAACTGTACATGACATGTATATTGTACATCCATTATCTTGTGCTGCTCTATCTGTAGATGGCTAAAAAGGCCTCAAGAACTCCATCGCTGTCTGTGCACAGCAAGTCCCAGCCTAGCCTGGATCATCCTATCGTTATCACGTCGATTTTTGTCAACAGCGATACGCTGGTGCCAAAATCGGACGATACGGGATTCCAACTCAGCCCTAAGGCAAAGACGTTCATGCAGAGCTGTCCGCCGAAGGTGCACGTCTTTAAGACTAAGAAAGAGGTCAGTATTAAAAAACACCGCTTCAAGAACAAAAGCACAGGACATGTACATGTTCACCTATCCAGGTGGAAGAAGTAATTAAGTTTTGGGATGGCCTACAGTTTCTGTATGCCCCACGGACCACGTACTGCCCGTGAGTGTTTTTGGAGTGGCGGTGTGTACATTAGAGTTGGTAAATAATTAATTTGAGCCCGAATGCTACAGGTAATGGTATACTTCACTCTTAAGCTTTTCACCCAATTATTGTATATAACTGCTCCTTGGCAGACTTCCACTTCATACTGTATCCTGCAATTTGCCGAAACATTGATAATGATACAGTGAACTGAGTTGTGACTTGCACTACGGTGCCCAGGGAATGAGTAAATGTGCTCACTATTCCTTTTCGACTTCTGACTTTTCCCTTTCTCATGTTCAACTGCACAGTTAAGGGACGCAGTGAAGAATTTCACAAAGCTGAGCTCCTGCGAAAACTTGATCATTTTCTATGCTGGGCATGGTGCACAGCACGAGATAAAGGCAGGCAAGGTGGTGGATAAGGAGCCTTGTAAGAAGGGTAGCCAAGAAGGTGCGGCAAGCAAGTTGATGGAGGTGAGGGAGAAATCGGTCAAGGAAATCCAGCATTCGTTGTACCTACCCTTGCCTAGCTTTCCCTACGTTGAGTACTATGACCTCTACGCTGATCATGAGTTAACGTATGACGTCACGGCTCACCTCGAACCCAGCCAGAACATGTACCTAGTCCTGCATGCGTGTAACAGTGGTGGCATGCTCCATGGTTGGCAGCTGACAGCGGACCAGAGGTTGGGAGACACGGAGTCTCTCTCTGTGGCAGTGTTTGCTAGTTCCGAGGCCGAGAATGTGAGCGACTGGACTAGTCTCGGCGGGGACGCCGACTTTGTCTCCATCTTCACCGAGTTTGCAAAGCCCGGCAAGAAGTTGATCGAAATCCAGAGCGATATCTTCAAAGCATCGGTGCAGAGGAATCGTTATCGGCAGCCTGGTGTTAGCCCCGCTCTGATTGTTCTCCGTCCAGATCAGAGAGACGAACTATTCCTGCCAAAGTAAGCCCTTAAACTGTGGCTGTGGAATTGCGAGAGAGAGTTAGGTGCTCTTTCCACTGATACACATACCTGTATACTTGTAATTTGTGCCAAGAATGAGTTGCCCAGGAGAGTTGGATGGCAGACTGCTAGAGCTGAGCTGCACTAGTGCAAACCACAGTCAGTGCTCTTGCATAATATGATCGCCTATGGTTTCGTCTGTATTGAAGGGTCTATTGCACATGGCATAGGCACACTGCTTATCTACATTGTAACATTGTAGGGCTGGCCTTGTTGCTAGTTTTCTACCATTTCTGCAGATGCGTCATGCTGACGATAATGCAGCCTGCCTGAGAGCTTTGGTTTGTGTGCCAAATTTTGGCTCTATGAACATTTTCATAATAACGCATTCCAGGCCAAGCATTTTGTCATGACTTGACTTACATGTATCGTTGCTTCCTGAAATCAAAATAGCTAATACGTCCAGGGATATCTTTTTCTCCATACACTTCCCAATCGGGTCCATGTACATGTAAGTGTATTATTTTGATTTCGCATTGATTTCCAATCCATGTTTGCTGCTTGTAACTTCTCTGTAACTACGTTGAGACTCGTACAAGATGATATTTCGCCAGATTGTGGTATTATTTGCGGCGGGCCGGGGGGGGGGGGGGGGCATTAGAATGTCAAACTAAACTGCTCCTGGCGTTTACATATACATAGCATGGATGTACAATTATAGTTTAGAATGGCTAGGCAATACTAGTACCTTTGGGTCTTTCTTTGATTTGTCCTCATTCAGTCTGAGGGTGGATCATTTATACGTACTAAGTACATTTACAAGCAGAGGTCAGAAGCGAGGGAGATTTTGACAGGAGCTCGCACCCTTGCGTGCACATAACATAATAATTATGGCCTATATTGTTGTTACTGGCGTGAGCATTGCCTACATTGTACTGCTGATAATTATAATATGGTTGACCTCGGCACCAGCGTCAAGTTCCAGCCAGGTTACAGTCATCCTGGCGTGGCCCTGTGTTACGTGTGAGGATCCCACGCCATTATTCGCCATGGCCATGTCGAAGTGTAAGAGAAGTGGCATGGGTCAACACCCCCAAATCATCGTGAACAGTAACATGGGCTATGACCCCCCCCCCCCCAGCTGGCCCAGATGACCTCTTCTCTTACTGTCAAGTGACTACATACAGTTGTGTGGTGCACAGAGCACAGGTATGTACCCGCACATGTTGTTAGACGGAGCACAAACTGTCCATTCATGTGGCACACCTCAAAGCTACGCAGGAATATACAAGTCATGACTTGTGTGTACAGGTACATATACAGGGTGCTCCAATAGTGCAAAGTCACACGTACAGGTAGGTTCATGGGAATCATGGCCCATACCATTTCCTTCCAATTTTGGGCAAACTTGATTCTGCGTGGAGTTCAATATGCTACATGTCACCCATTCCCTTTACCTGCCTCGGGGAGAAGTGGGACAGACTCGTGTCAGTGTGCGACTGACTACTCGCTCCCGTCGCTGGTACTATTTTGTAACTTAACTGCTGTTTCATAATCTTATCATGGGGTACATGTTCATGTACATAACAGGTCTACAGGTTCCACAATGGTGCCTCCTTTTTGTTTCTCTCATGAAGTGTCACCCATACCTGAGTCTTCCAAATACGCATGGTACATGGACATGTATGTACCTCCACTTGAAATGTTCTTAGTGTCCATGGGATTATCTTGTTAGAGTCGAGGAGCAAAAGGGTGGTGGGAACTGTGGAGCCAGGCTACATGTAGCAAAAGGGTGGTGGGAACTGTGGAGCCAGGCTAGTTCGATGGGACTCAGAGTTTCATGCATTTAATGCTATCAGGCAGCATATTATGCATATGTCTCGGGCTTGAGAAGTCGCTGGGCTTTCCTATGCCGCGTTCAGTCTGTTTCTCCGTCCCAGTTCCAGCCACTGGAGGACGTGATAAGCACGAAGCGTATACCAGCAATGACGGGTCGGCCACCGCCTGGCACAGTGTTGAGGAAAGTACTCGCAATGCCCTGTCGTTTGGGTGGCCTGGGCCTGGTCAGCCCGATGACTTTGTGCTCCCAGTATGAGTCGTCTGTCGCCATCACAGCATCTCTTTCCCGGCGTATCGTGGATCGTGTTTCTGATATTGGGAATTCTCTGTTTGGCATCCAGCGGGAGAAGGCGAAGAGGAAGAAGGAAGTACATGTATGTCAAAGCCAGGCGGAGTCGGCACGGCGTATCAGCAATGATGCGTCGGACGCCTTGCGACACACCATTGTCCTCGCCCGTGAACCTGGCGCCTCGAGTTGGCTGACTTGCCGTCCATTGAAAAAGTATGGCTTTTCACTGAGCAAAGCTGAGTTCATGGACGGCTTGTGCCTCCGTTATGGCTGAATGCCGCCAAGGTTACCAACTCATTGCTCAGCTTGTGGACGGGACAATGGTATTGACCATGCCTTGTCATGTCCCCTTGGTGGTTTTACCATTATCCGCCATAATGAGATCCGGGATGTGACAGCCTCTCTCCTTTAAGAGACCTGTCACAATGTCTCCATCGAGCCACTGCTGCAGCCACTCACTGGAGAGAGAATGAGATACAGGTCTGCTATTGTGGAGGAGCATGCGCGGCTTGATGTAGCGGTCAGTGGTTTGTGTGGCAGTAGTTTTGAGCGTACTTTACTTGATATAATAAATAATAATAAAAAACAGGTCGCGTAATGAAGCAGCATAACGATAGATGTGCAAAGTCATGATGCCCGGTCCGCTTCTGCCCTGGGTTCACTACCCCGAGCGTTGTAGCCGCGAGCAAAACCAGCTCAGGCTGAGAGTTCCCTCCATGATTGCTTGTCCAAAGCGCGTATTCTGAGCCCACTCAGATCAGTCATGGTCTTCAGTGGCATGTCTCTGGCAGCTGTGCTTGCCTTGACTGCCGTGGCCAGGTTCGATTTAGGGCGTCCACGCACACCGGTGACATCTCGACGGAAGTAGTTGTCCATTGCCTGCTGTGGTGGGGCATCTGAGGGCATCCTCAGAACATGACCCAACATCCGGAAACGGCGGACAGCAACGGTGTGCGAGAGTGGCTGTGTGTGTGTGCTCTGGAATATAGGTCTTTGTTGGAGATGATGGCGGGATTCCTACTAAGTACCAGTAGTTCCGAACAATTTCCGTAGTTGACGTCTATGGAAGGCGTTCAGCTTCTCCAGTGCAGCCTCTGTCAGTCCCCAGGTTTCGCAGTTGTATAACAGTGTTGGTAGGACGATGGCATTGTAGAGACGAAGCCTGGTTTCCTCGGATACAAGTTGACGTCGTATCCAGAGCGAATACATGCGGCCATACGATGTTGATGCTTGGTCCATTCGTCGGCTCAAGTCCTCCTCTACCCGCAAGAGAGAGAGCCAAGTTGCTTCGATCTTCGCCATTCGGTGGTGAAGGCAGAGATGTGAAGCCACTCAGTTTTGCTGCTGTTAACGTTAGTGACCAGTCACCCAGGCCGTCAGCTATCAGGGTAGGGAGTTGGCAAGCCATTGTCGCTCAGTCGAATAGAAGGAAATGTCATCGGCATATCCTGTTTCCTGTGGTATTGCTGCATCAGTGTCTGGCCGTGGTGGTAGTTTGCTTCGAGTCTCCCTCAGTGCTGCTTCCAGGTAGCAAACAAACAGACCCGGGCTCAGCCCATCACCCTGTGGTGTACCTAGCGTGCTAACAAACGCCTCCGCTGAAGTGGCACCCACTTTCACAGAGAGTGTTGTACCATACAGCAAATTAATGGTGAATCAGGCAAGCCTCCTCAGGTCCGGTAATCTCTGACATAACAGCAAGGAGCTTTGTGCGGCTAATGGTGTCGAATGCTTTCGACATGTCGAGGCCAAGGACGTGGCAATCCCACACGAAGTGGGTGGCTTTAGGTGAAATCCAGCGCTGTGTCCACACCACATCGGCAGTGCCACGGCCAGGCCTGAAACCAGACGAAGTGGATCCAAGATAATGCGACACACGTGGTGTGATACGTTTGAGCACAACGAGTGAAATGACCTTGCGCAGGGTGTTCAGCAATACGGGTAACTTGATATACGGGTTTTTAATCCTCATGCACGCTCAAATCGATCTGCAACACACACCACTGTCTATCGGCGCCATGAAAAAGAAAAGCGACGATGCTATGAAGAGAGAGAGTGAGAAAGGTGGAGCATGCGACGTTAATGCCTGTTGTGCTGTCATGGGGACAGCGGCGACATCACTCTATCGCCGAATCGCGTTATTGAGAGCGGAAAGGAGGAAGGAGCAGTACTCCCACGTAATATCTTACATCAGATGCCGTCTCTCATTTGCCCTGTTGCGATCATGCATCATGTGTTTGCGGGGTTCACGGGGTCTTTTCCGTGAGCGATCGGTTCGGCATCCGGAGTCTGCTGAGCTGGTTGTTGCTGAGGCCCAGGTTGCTCGCATGTGAGAATCTATAAATTGCAGCAAATTATTTTATTATAAATACTGGACATAGATATTGAATTAAACTGTACTCGGTGACTCTTTACATTTTACAGGCTACGTTTTATTATTATTATTATTATTGTAAAGCTTTCCTTTTGATCTTGTCTCTTAGTGTTGTGACCGTTCCACAATATTGTGTTGCATTGTTTAAAAACAAAATTTAATGCTATCATCAGACAATATGGTGGGTTGTGTTGATCGTACTGGTACGGTATACATGTGTGTGCAAGGAAAAATAGGCAGCAAACTGTGGGGATGTTGAGATGTACAAATGTCCATGACTACGTATAAGCAACCTTGCGAATAAAGCCTTATAAAGGCCCTTGATCGCGGTCATGAGAAAAGTGCTGTTATTCGCAAGGTTATCCACGAGTTGTTGCTGATGTATCCGAGGCTGGTATTCCCAAAGTTTACTGTACTTCACATGCATGCCGACACTCTGCCCATTATTAGTACTATTTGTCGGTAGAATTGCTCATAGTGTACTCACTAGACGATTTGACACAATCTTCATTACGAAGTAGGAAAATTGAAATAGAGATGTGAAAAACAAATAGATGGAGCAGCAATGCAATGCTACTTGTGCACGTCATACATGTACGTGCACAAGTAACATGTAGTATGATTGTACAAGGATCTGCCCAAGTCAGTCAGCTTTAGTTTAGCACAGTCATGCTATACTTCCGGTAGAAGAACAACAAACAACCAAGTACAGTACTAGTCCAGTGCTGTGATACAGCGTAGGTGATTCAGCTAAACCTAGTGCCTCAACCCAATATCTCCTCCGACCAAGACTTGGCGAAAGATTTGTCTGAGCAATGGAATAGGTGGTCCTGTTAGGCACTAGTAACCTGCGTGTAATGCTATGCTCCAATTTGTTTGCTGTGTCACTGCGGAACTGTTATATCAAGTCGGCCTTAGTAAGCATTTTCGCTTCATACAGTTTCTTCCTGATCATAAGTAGCTAGGTTCGGGATCTTTGCCAACAAAGAGGTGTGTTAACCTGTGATACTGCATTGAAAGATGTGAAGGGAGAAAAGAGGACGAAGGGGGAAAGCACGTGAGTTGTTCCGTTGCATTCTTCTGTAGTTAGAGTTAGGAATGACGAAGGCTTTAACCACGTCCTAGGCCTCCGCATAGCGCAATGCTATTCCTGTCCTCGCTATCTAGTATCCACCTTCTGGAACCAGGTTACCATGTGAGGGCAGGTACATGTACATCTTAGCCGCAACAGTGCAGAATACTGCTATTACCAGTACGCGATGGCACTGTGGCAAATCGACTATGGCAAGTCTGAGGTCAAAGACACAGTCATCATGATTGTAGTGACTCACTGACAGTCATCAGAAAGTAGATCGACTGCGAGATTACATCATGCAATGTGGGGTAAAGGAGTACGAGTACGAGTCCTTCTGGCATCCCGACTGTTCCTGGCCGTGTGAAAAATAAAAAAAGGGTCACTGGTGCTTTGAGTTTGATCTGGACGCCGACTACATTTTTACGAGTCTCAGTATACTGACTGTAGATTTGCACACTACAGTCACCATACAGACCGTACTAGTATCTAGTTTCCTCAAACTGTCAAAGGAAGAAATCTGCAACGCGTTACCTTCAAGCCCATACTCCGTAGTCATGACCCTGATCGATGTGTCGGCGCTTGCCCACTCTTCTGATCACTGACTGTGATGGCACCCACACAGGTCAACAGACTCAGTGTCAATGATCCGACTGAAAGCATGCAAAGATTATTGTACGACTGTCATGGTTCCGAGCAAGGAGTAGTAAAAATACTACTCCCTGGTTCCGAGCATACACTGATGCCCCAGAAACCAGGGAGTCGCACAAAATCGGGTTTGTACGACTCCCTCACTGCCTCAGCCTGCTGGAAACGGACTAAACACTAAGTCTTGTAGAGAGTCTAACCATGCTAACGGTCCGTAGTAGTGCGCAGTCTAACACTACAGACTCAGTACTACAGAGAGTACAGTGCTGGCAGTAGTAACAGATCGATGACAATGCGATATGCCTACTTCGCGAAGACGAAATGCAGCATCACGTGCGATGAAGCCCCGGCTACAAAACTAACCATTCTTCTGCATTCGCCAGTGACAGTCAGTATAAAAACGATCGTCACCACAGAGCTAGCTCGGTATCAAATTTTGGCTTTGGACAAAAATTATTCTAGTGACTTTGTGAAGGAATCACGAGCGACGTCTTCTGTTTTGCAATACTGCCGGCGATTGTGCGCGTAATCTGTTACACTGTTGAGAGCCAGACGAGCGTTTAGCATTCCGGTTCTTCTTTCAGATTGGACTTGACTTCGCCTCGAATTTGTAAATTTCTTGTTCAGTTATGGCGAATGTTATGAAGACAGGCGGTCATTCGTCCAGCACCACGACGGACGTGAAGAGGACGAAGCAGAAGGAAACAGTCCTGTATGAAGCATCTGGCCAGGCCCCAGCGCCAAGCAAGAATTACTATCAGGTTCGTACTGATTATTACGTTTACACAATGTATTGAGCTGTGTCCGAAAAATCAGGACGTTTTATGAACAAATTCCATGTTTTAAAATCTTGTAGGACCCATCACGCAGCTTATTATTGGTTGTGAGCAACACTGGCTCACACTCAATCACTGCTTTTCACCAGAAAAATATTTTATTTCAACGTTTCGGTCATGAAAACCGGTGTGCCCACTTCATTCCTGATGATGGTTATTTAATAACCATCATCAGGAATGAAGTGGGCACACCGGTTAAAAAAAAAAAGAAAAGTAAATTATCGTATCCGTTCCCAAAGGGAACTCACGACGGCCGCTAACACCCGATAAACCCTAGCGGCAGATGCAGCGCCTAACGGTGGGGGTGAGTGGGTAAGCCTCACAACCACTGGCACAAGTGGCGAAAACGACCCCATTAGCTGCATCCATGTACCCCTTGTGCCTGGCCACAAGTTCCCAGTTGACTGTGGGTAGCAGCACGGCTGGAAAAACCGCTCCCAGGCACCAGTTAGGATGGGTTAATAAATGAGGAGCGCTGCAAACTGATAATAAACCACACCTGCCATGTTTGTTGCCAGTTTCTCTTTAAGACTGGAATGATCAATCTACACACAGTGCACTTCTACAGCACAGACACCAATGCTTGCATCCTTGGGGTTACAAAGTTGCGTACATAGTGTAAACGTCATGCTGTCGTGGTTACAAGTTACAGTTTGCAATGTTCAGCAATGGCCATTGAGAGCAATCCATTGAAAGTGTTAGGTCACTTTGTCAAAATTTGCAATGGTGCACACTGCTGTTAATAACAGGTTAACCTTCATAGAAATCCATGGAGCATTCTAGTTGATCGGTTAGAGTTGCCAATTCATCTTCTCACTGACTTGGTCCACATGACAGAGTTCGAAAAGATCACATAGAATAATTATGCAGTGTACATGCATATGTACCACTCGATAGTGTTTGAATCAACATTATTACACACGGATATTTCTTCACTTTTCCAACTCCACAACCATTGATTACTATCCCTTCACTGCGAATCGCTTTATATTCCACCAAATTTCCGGACCTGGCTGCGTTGTAGTTACCGAACAATTAGAAAATGTTAGCACGAGGCACATGTGCATGTACGTAAGGAGCACTGAGATCATGCAGCAGTGGTCTAGAACATAGCTGTGTCTATGGTGGTATTTTGTGTGATGTTCAGGTGCTTGTCGATGAGAACTTTGTGACGCTGAGATGGTGGCCAATCTCCTTTCATCTCGGTCAGCATGCCAGACCTGGTGAGAAACGTATCCCACTGGCTGACTATGCGGACGACAGCCGCACTCGAGATGACGTCAAGTCCAACCTGGGAGCAAATGTGGAGGAGAAGGTCTCTCGCCTGGCACGCGGCATCAACGACCTTCTGTGCAACTTACCCCAAGACATCCTGGTGAAGATATTGGGTGACCTGGACTTGACATCACTCCAGAGAATCAGCTGCTGCAACACTTACCTCAACGAAGTATGCTCGTGTAATGCGCTATGGGAAAAGATCTACCTGCAGAATCACGGCTGGGCAAGTGAGGACCTACATGCGCTCGCCTCCGAGATCACTTGGAAAAAGGTGTTCTTTATGAACAAGCTGCAGCTACAGATGCTGCTAAGCCGCCGGCGAAGAGCTGCCAGCGCTGGGCCAGATTCAAGGCCTCAGACTGGTGGTGTGTTCCTTACTGAGTAGATAGAGACAAGTAACAGAGAGGCATCAGCTTAATATTGACAGATTATCAATGGTCAGGAACTACGCAGTATTCAATGGGTCTGCGATGTAGTCTCAATGCGCGTAGTCTTGAGAAGAAATTCACATCTTGTATAGTGATTTTTCCCCAATCATGTGGTCGCACATATAGGCATATGATTGTGTTTGTGTGTGTGCACGAACGCGCGCTCGCACGCGCGTGTATGTGTGTGTGCGTGTATGTGTGTGCAGGCATGCACATGCAGGATGAAGCACCTCCCTAGATTATCAATCCACTTTGTCATCAATGGGTTTATCGCACCTAAAATTTGAAAGAATATCTGAATGATCTGCTGGATTTCCAGATTCACTTGAGTTTCATAAGATTTTTATTGCTTTCATAGAGAATATGAGAAGAACCTGAGTCAACCCCATTCTAAATGTCCCATCATATATATTATCTTTGCAAGCTGTGGAACAGATTGCTCTAGGACACCGAAGCATTGCTGCTACCAGATGACCTACTACAAGTATAATTTGAATTGTCACAATGTGAATACAATTTATCTATCAGAAGAGACACACTCCTTGACATTTCTTGCACTGGATGTTTTATCAGCATTTATCATGGGATAGTGGGCAACCCTACTGTGGGTGGTGTAGAATGTTACAGGACATTCTACACTAACGTTCATGGCAGCGATGCCATTCTCAAGGATCATGGTGATACCAAAGATAATAATAATATCAAGTGCTGCAGCACATCATGCAATTCAGCTCAATTGTATCAAAGTCAATCCTGCTATGAATTCTCATAGGCATCTAAATAATTATGATGGAGAATTGCCTTTCATTCTTCCTCAACAAAATAAATTTAGAATATGTATCCCTAGAGCAACTTTCAGCAGGGGAAAGCATGTAAGATAGTACTCTCCGCGTGTGGTGCTTCGCGAAACAACAGTGATTCCCCAGCATCTACAAATTGATGCCAGGAGATGGAATTTTTTAAATACAGTTTCAAGCCTACCCATCCTGGCTGTAAATGGTGTTTTAAAGGTTAACATTGAGTGGACTGGTCACATTTATCAATCACTGCATTAGTTAGTTAGTGCCTCGAGCCCGCACAACTTCTAAAATTTCAAATGCATAGATATGATGGAGTGTGGTGCTAATGCAAGCGACATTGTTCTCATCCGTCACTGGGGTCACCTTCCTCGTTTTCTTCGTATATTGGCTGATGGCGTAATGATGTTCGGCTGACCATTGAACCTGGTCTGCTTGCTGACAGCGGTCTCTGTGGGCTAGTGTTAGGGGTGGCTTGTGGGGACGGTCCAGGTGAAGGCTTTCCCGTCTTTTGGGATTTGTCTGACTTTTCACCTGGTTTTGGCAGGGGTTTCTGTGATCCCACATTCCCTCCTAGCCCGCTGCAAATGGCTGCCATAATACTACCGTCTGGTGCGCTGTCCAAGCCAGATATATCCGGGCCAAGGCCAAAGTCCGGGAACGCAAATGCATCCTGCCCGTCGTCTCTGGAGTTGTGGGAGCGAACTGAGCTAGCTCGCAACTCGTGGATTAATCGCTGAGCACTGTCCGCTTGACGAATTTGCCGCTGATTTTGTCTATAGCAGCAGGCAATAACGATGCACATTGCGATGACTATCACTGCGCAAGCGGAGGCAGTTACAATTCCAACTGTGCTCGTCAGGAACTCTCTCGCCTTGCTCTGCCAGCTAGAGCCATCCTCAGTTGCTTGAGGCGGTTGGGGTGCTCTAGTGGTCGCCTGGGGAGTCGTTGGCACCATCGGCACTGGAAAAAACAAACAAACAAGGAGAACTGATTTTCTAAGCCAGGAGTCATTAGTGCTGGGTCATGATTTCCAACAGACAGGTGTGAAAGTTTGTGTGCTACAGTATCCACCCATACTTTGAAGCAAGTACAAACAGGCAAGGATGTTTATGAAAGAACTCTCAGAGGCAAATGATACTGGCAAACCCTGACGGTTTCCCCGGGAAAATCCCGGGAAATCAACACTACTCCCGGGGCCCGGGGATTTCAAGCAAACTCCCGGAAAAGTCACAATTTCGTGTGATACACAATTTTCCTGAAAACTCCATGACTTCGCCTGGAATATTCCGGTTTTTTCAAAGATACGTACAGTGCGCACTCGCACTTCGAACTGTGCACGGCACTTTCAAGACCTGACCAGCCTGCAAGATCTGCACTGACAGACGGGCGCCAACTGATCGAACTGCACTGCATGGTCGAACTGTGCTGTACGCAGATCTGCAGAGTCTATACCGTCAAGGAAGTGTTTCACGTTGGCCGATACCAGGCATACACATGTAATTATGGTCTATGATAACCGGAAGCCACATCTAATGCAGCTCTGACAACACTCCTCAACACTGCCAGCACATCTATTTCAAGATTCAGAGGCAACGCCGTTACATCGCACCTCACACACTCAGCGCGTACCACAAACTGTGTTGGAGCCCACTGGGTTGCTGCAGTCTAAGTACGGGATGGTGGTCCGCGCCGAACAAACAAAGTCACCGTGTTCGTTGCAGAGGGATGTGGAGGAGGACAGAGTTGCGCATCCTGAACGAGAGAACACATTCAATAACAGCCGCAACAAGATTATTATTATTATTATTATTATTATTATTATTTATTGATCAATGACATTCATCGAATTTGTCCGGGCCTGGCAGGCCTGGGGGGGGGGGGGAGTTGAAAAAACAGTTCTTGTGCATGCTAGTGACGCGAAACAAACAGACATTGTCCTACGCGGAAGGGTTTGTGAGGTGCTATCGATCACGGGGATGAACATACAGGGCTAAACATGTCAAGCCTCTCTCTTTTAAAAGTCGATTCACTATGGTATAGTATAGACAAACCTGGAACATAGCCTGGATAAAGTGGATATAATTAACTAGATTATGTGTGAAAATGCAGTGCTCATTTGCGTGTAGGCAAGTTGCCTGAAAACAAATTACGTATAATGAATCTGCGGGAGATGTCCTTCAGAATTTCGAAGCCTGGAATTGTCTGGAAAATTAAGCCTATCAAGGGGGTTTCAAGGAATAGCCAGTATCCGTACATGCGCATCCATCAACCTCACCGCATGAGTTCATGGATGCCAGAGTCCTGCCTTTCATTGCGGGTGGAGAGTCGCACACAGACGTGGCCCTGTCGTCCCACACCATGCTGAGGTTGAGAGCTCTTCTCACCAGTGGGCACACACAAGCTGTACATTGCCATTTGATACTTCCCAGAGAGCTGAAGAAAGAAGATTAACATGGCACTATGTTACTGAGTGTTCCAAGCCGTTACGGGAATTCTGGGCTGTCTAGCTTACGCAGTACGGGGCAAGGAGCTGTTTGCGCGCTCTCTATGTTTCTATACATTGATGACTACAATGCTGGCGGACTGCAGACTTGTGGTTGAACCAGGGTAAGTCGACTGAAGTACTTGTAATGTAAGCTAAAACTTCTTCTTCTAAGCATACACATTGCATATACATGTACATGTAGCAGAGTTGGAGAGCATTCCATAGTGTACCTGTGATCCAATGGCATGTCCCACGGACGTTATGCATTAGCTAGTGAAGCAAGCCTTATGACCACAAGAAACATTTCCAAAGAAAAAAACCCAAAGGAATGATTTTTGGCAACTAGCAGCCAGCATGATAATAGGGTTTTCTCCAGGCACTGCTTACATGTGTTTTATGTTTTGTAGCAGGTCTTCTGTAAGCGATGCAATGTCGGTGCCTCCTACCAATCTGAGAACAACAACAAAATGCAGAACCCACACCTATAGATGTCATTTGTTCACACAAGCAACCAAATACACACATTCCTCGGTATGGTATTTTATTTTATTTCATCGGAAGAACAGGCACCGATGCCTTCTTGGTAGACCATCAACTTGGCCCGATACATGATCAATATCAGCAAAGATGCATTGCATGCACTCACGAAACCAAAATGAATCTAGGTGGAAGACTACACACATGTGCGCATCATATGAACGTAAATGTAGCATTGCTACCTGATAATCACAAGTTACTTGTCGGATAATTTAAGTGCCATTCAATGTCATCCTTACAATGTTTGCACTGCCTTGTTGGCAAATGAATGCCTTGCTATTCCGCTCACCCTGCTATCTGTTAGATCACTGTGCACAACATATCAAAGTAAAAAGAACGTGTATCATTTCCACAATGCAGTCAGTCCTTAACACATCCAGACCATCACACACAGGGAATAAATGATGTAAGGGTGGCATCATACATGACAATGATGACATCAAAGGTCCATGTGACTCTAGATGCAGAACATCCTACTAGACAGCTGTCAATACGTACATGATCCGAAGGGTTGGCGAATTGGGAAGCAACGTTGCGAAATCCAGGATGCCAAGGCCTTTCTGTGGCGATCTCAGCTTTGTCAGAGTTCTAAGAGATCACACACCAAGAACACGATCACGGTGTATGGCACAATACTACTAGGTTTGCGTGTGCATGGAACGATACAGCCAAACTCTTATTAGACGTATCTCCATGGGCAGCAGAAAAGTGGAACTTGCTATCCCTGCAATCTTCAGCGTGGGTCAATACATCCGTTCTCTAGCCAATGTCCTCACTAAGCAAGAGCATGTTATATCAGAGCACAGACACTACATGTACTTTCTAAGTTACTTCCACTGTACGTCATGCAAACTCCGTGATGCGTTGGATGCGAATTGCCGAGACGTATGCGTCAAAGATCTCAAGTGTACTGTACGGGGATACGCATGATATTTGCCACATATGGATGTACTGCTAGGGATGCCCACAAAATCGGTTGTGGCGACAAACGCGATTAGGCCGGCTGCAGGGACGCCGTAATGTCGCACTCGCCCCAGCACCATTCAAACAGTTCCCTTTGGCAGTTCACGGCACGAACTTCAACAAAGCCCCGTGAATGCGTACTAGGGGAAGGCTAGACAGCATGTCTCTAGACATCAATAGGCATCGTATGAAAAGCCAGTCAATAGCACTAAAGAGCGAAAGCCTTTGTCACGGTTCGGTTTCACTCGCGCACCGGGCCCGAGCTGCCAGCGCAAACAAATGCCGGGCCAACGGATGGCCACGGCCATCAAAAACAGGAACAAACCCATCCACGGCTCTTTCTCTTGCTAGCTGTGCTGCTGCGTGCATCCAACTGTTTTGCAATTTCTTTCTTCCTTGTTGCAATTACTCGGCGAGATTTGAAATTTCTAAAGTTCCGCAGTCGCAGGAGATCCTGAGCCGTCACCATGAGCTCCGTGCCATCACTTTCCGATCTCCGCCAACTCAAAGTCGACGGAGTTGAAACTCGACTGCGAGAACTGGGGCTTTCTTGCTCAGGCAATTTTAGAGCCCAGGTGAGCCGTCTGCATGAGCATTTGTCGGCCCAGGCAAGAAACAAAGCTAAGTCTACGAGCCAGGTCGAAAAAAAAAAAGACCACGCGTCGGCGGGCTAGTCCTGCAGTCCCGGCCACTCAAAGCCCCGCGGCCGCGACCCAGCCTGACTCGTCGCCCGCGTTCACGTCGCAGCAATCTGCCGAGATCTCTCGGGTCGTGCAAGATGCAGTGGCGTCCTGCATGACGTCATTGACAACTTCGATGGGTCTACCGGTGGTACCTCCACATGCACAGCCAACTGTAGCAGCAGCAACAGCAGCACAGCGGGCTGGTCCAGTCTCTGGTGATGTTGTGGTGCCTGACTCTGAGCCTGAATATGTCCAGCCTTCACTGGCTTCAGCACTAAGACCAGACCAGGAGAGTCTCTTCCTGGACGGCGATTTGCTCGCCCCAGAGCGTCCACCATCCATCCCATTACCTGCCCTCAGCGACCATCTCACGGACAAGATTATCAAACGTGAGTACGTTGATTTTGGTAGGGTACTGGGAGAGCTGGCTTTTGATACGAGCATGGGTCCGGACAGTGGGTTCACCCTGCAGGGGACGGGGGACCACATCACCCTTGTGCCATCTGCCATGTCGTCGTCATCCCGTCTAAAGAAAGTTGTAGACTTGACATCGTGGTTGGAGGCGTTCTCAGCCTTCGCCCAAGTAGCCCTCCACCACGACCCCGGCAGAGGTCCGGAATTATTCAAGTACCAAAGCACAATCGTGAAAGCGGCCGCACGCTATACATTCGGTGCGTGGTCTGGCTTCGACATGTCGTTCCGTGCAAGAGCTGCACGCAGCAAATCTAGCCTTGCCACGTCAGATCCGGAACTCTGGTCGGAGTGGTTTACAAACTCCATCCTGCCTCCCTGCCGTCACTGCAACCGGCAAGGTCATTTAACAGTTCGCTGCCCCCGCGCCCGTAGCCTAGCTTCACTGTCTGACGGGCCAGCAGCCAAACGCCCCTTTCCGGCACAGCGGTCAGGGGCTACCGCTCACCCAAACGCCCCAGCTGTCTGCCGCGACTACAACCAAGGCCGCTGCCAACGCGCAGCCTGTCGCTACGGCCACCAGTGCAGCACATGCTTTGGCAGCCACCCCGCGAAGTCATGCCCAGGAAAGCCAGCCGCCGCCAGCCGCGACCAATAGCTCGCAGTTGCCCAGCTTGGAGACTCGGTCACTCCAGTCACTCACCGGTAACTCTACACTCACCCAGGCCAATAGCACTCACACACTCTGCCCAGCTGCTCACATCTCTCCTACACGCACCCTCGCTCACGAGCCAATCCATTTGCACACGCCTGTAACCCCCATTAACGTTTCTTACCTGCAGGACGCTTTGTGTCAGCATCCTGATCCGGCTTTTGCCTCATTCGTAATACATTCTTTGTCTTACGGGTTCGATATTGGGTTTGCTGGTCCCCGTACCTTCCGAGTCTCTCGTAATCTCAAATCAGCGATTGAGCACCCTGACATTGTCGATGCTGCCATCGGTCGTGAAATTGCCGCAGGTCGCATGGCCGGTCCCTACCAAGAGCCCCCCTTCACACTTACACAGGTCTCCGGTTTGGGTGTGGTTCCCAAAAAGTCACGGTCGGTGCAAAAATGGCGCTTGATTATGCATCTGTCAGCACCACAGGGCCACTCAGTGAACGATGGTATCCCTGTCGACAAATTCTCTGTACAGTACTGTTCGGTCGACGACGGCGTAAATCTCGCACGGTCCCTAGGCCGTGGCTGCCATCTGTGGAAGGTCGACCTCCAAGACGCATTTCGCATTTGTCCAGTACGGAAAGAGGACTGGGAACTATTATGCCTGTTCTGGCGCGGGCAATATTACGTGGACAAATGCCTACCCTTCGGCCTTCGCTCATCACCGTCGCTGTTTAACAAAGTCGCAGACGCCCTCCAGTGGGTCATGTCGCACAACTTCGACGTAGCCCCAGTCATCCACTACTTAGACGACTACCTTGGTGGAGCGACGGACTCTATCGGCGCACAGCACCAGCTTGACCGTGCCCTGGTAGCCTGCCACGACTTAGGCTTCCCGGTCAATCCAAAAAAGGTGGAAGGCCCTAGTACAACCCTGACATTCCTCGGTGTCATGCTGGACACAGAGCGCTTCGAAATCCGCCTCCCATCCGACAAGTTAGAAGACCTTCTCATTGCCCTCAAGGCTTGGCAACATACCCGCCCTACCGCCCGCAAGTCTGAATTGTTGTCCCTGATAGGTCACCTCAGCTTTGCCTGCAAGGCGGTCCCTGCGGGCCGCATGTTTCTGCGCCGCCTCATTGATCTCAGCACGACGGTCCCGCATCCAAACGATTACATCAGAATCACAGAAGACGCCAAAGCAGACATCCAGTGGTGGCTTGACTTCCTCCCTGCCTGGAATGGCGTCGCCTTCTTCCTAGAACCCACGTGGTCAGCCGCCGCCGATATGGACCTCTACACGGACGCATCTAGAGCCATCGGCTATGGTGCTTTCTTCGCCGGCCGGTGGCTCCAACACCGGTGGCAGAGGCACCAATCCCAGAGATCCATCGCGTGGATGGAGCTCTTTGCCATCGTGGCCGCAGCATCCACATGGGCACCGCAGCTGCATCTGAAGCGCATCCGCTTCCACTGCGACAACCGTAGCGTATGCGACATCTGGCTCCGCTCACGCACAAAGTGCCCCGACTTAATGGCGCTGGTACGCACTTTGTTTGCCATTGCTGCCCGACACAACTTTCACGTCATAGTCTCCCACATCCCCGGCACTGACAATGCGATTGCTGACTCCCTGTCTCGGTTTCAGATGGCCCGATTTCGCCGACTGGCACCCACAGCAGAAGACACACCATCTCCGGTGCCCGAGAGCACCTACTCCCTCTGATGTTGGAGGGTCAGGCCTACCAGTGGCTAGGCCTGTCAGCGTCCACACGTGCCACATACGCGACAGCCTGGAAACGACTGCACCAATTCTGCCAACTAGTCGGCACCAAGGTGATTACAGACACCATCATGCTGGCGTTTGTAGCCTACCTGGCGCGTCAACATGCCGCGTCAACCGTCCGCCTGTATGTGTCGGCGATCCGGGCAATTGCCAAAGAAAACGGCAAAGATCTCTCATCGCGAAGAGTGGACCTCGCAGTTCAAGGAGTGGCACGTGCACAGGCCAACCGAACTAAAAACGCCAGTAAGCCAATCCTCCTGCCCCACATGGCAGCTATGCGCAGGGCCCTGATACGGTCTAACCTCAACGCGACCGACCGAGCCATGGTATGGGCAGCTATTTGCCTGGGCTTCTTTGCGTGTCTCCGGGCAAGTGAGTACACTTCCACAACCGCCACGACCATGTCAGACGGTGGCCTCCGAACAGAAGACCTCTCCATCACGCCGCAGGCAATACAGGTCACAATCAAGAAGTCCAAGACCGACCAACTCGGCAAGGGTCACTCCGTCCGGCTCACAACCACCAACTCAACGGTTTGCCCGGTCAAAGCCATGCATACCTATCTATCAAGACGCCCCAACCTGCCCAATAGACCACTGTTCGTTGACAGCTGTGGCAAGTTCCTAACTGCACCAAGACTCACCCGTCTAATCCGTCAGCTCCTGAGCAGCGCAGGGTACCCACCTATCCAGTATTCACTGCACGGCCTCAGAGCCGGAGCCGCAACCACAGGAGCAATGAGCGGCTTCACCGAATCCGAGATCATGAAACTCGGCAGATGGCGAAGTGCCTGCTACAAGAACTATGTACGCTGTGGAAAGTAACTGTTCGCCGTCCGCAGGCGCGCAAGCGCGCACAGCCACACCCACATACACGCACCCGCAGACACATACACACGCACGCACACACACCCACGCATGCACACACACATGCATGCACGCGTACACGCACCCACAGTCTGACACCGCACAAGCATGCATGCAGGTACACACGCTACGCACACGCTGGTACGCCCATTCGCGGACGTATGCACTCACGTTCTAGCACTGACTGTGCACGCACGCCTCTGATACTTATGATAAGTTATCTGCACCACTCTGTTGCTGTGCTATAGCTCCCACCTAGCGGTGTGGGACACCCCATGCTATGGCGGTGTGGGACACCCCAGACCATGGCGGTGTGGGACACCCCATGCCATGGCGGTGTGGGACACCCCATGCCATGGCGGTGTGGGACACCCCATGCCATGGCGGTGTGGGACACCCCATGTGTGCACGCACGCTCCGACTACATGCGATTCAAACCCTTCTCGGTGTCACTAAGGGAAAACAAACATGCGAAGGGCACGCATTTGAACTACGTACATGTAGCTGAAGCGCTTGAATACCACACTAAGGTCATTCGGCTGACCAACGCGGAATTTGGGGGCATTCGGCGGCTTGGTCTGATTCCTAGCTTGTTGGTAACCGGCTTGAGGTTTCCAAGGTTGCTATGACAACGTGCAGTCATGCGCAGGGCCACCCAACATGCGTTGGGGGCCCAGGAAAGACAGAAACGCGTTGCTAGGCAACAGCAAAAGCGCTCAGCGAGTATCACGCTACTCATGCAGCACGCACGCTGGCTTAGGGTATCACGCTACCCTTGCGCTGCGGGGTACCACATTGCCCCTCGCTGGAATCAGACCCGCGCCCCGGATACCTTGCGCTGGCCTCCTGACGGCCAAACTCAACCAACTTGCGCGCTGTGACTGGGGTTGTGCATGCCTTAGCGACATAATGTGGCCCAGGTCGGCAGACTTTCAATTAGCCAAGCGAGCTACTCAGGCCAGGGCGCATGATCACTATTCGCAGCACTTATCGTCCATGCAGCAGTCGGGTTAAAATCGGTTGTGGCGACAAACGCGATTAGGCCGGCTGCAGGGACGCCGTAATGTCGCACTCGCCCCAGCACCATTCAAACAGTTCCCTTTGGCAGTTCACGGCACGAACTTCAACAAAGCCCCGTGAATGCGTACTAGGGGAAGGCTAGACAGCATGTCTCTAGACATCAATAGGCATCGTATGAAAAGCCAGTCAATAGCACTAAAGAGCGAAAGCCTTTGTCACGGTTCGGTTTCACTCGCGCACCGGGCCCGAGCTGCCAGCGCAAACAAATGCCGGGCGCGAGCTGGCAGCACGAACAAACACCGTACTCACACGAGACCGCTGGGCCAACGGATGGCCACGGCCATCAAAAACAGGAACAAACCCATCCACGGCTCTTTCTCTTGCTAGCTGTGCTGCTGCGTGCATCCAACTGTTTTGCAATTTCTCCCTCCCACCCACGCCTCTTGATGTGTCCTAGCTCACTATTCTGGACAAATATTAATTCAATTGCAATGAAGCGCCGGGGGCCGGCGGGGGCATTCGGCGGCTTGGTCTGATTCCTAGCTTGTTGGTAACCGGCTTGAGGTTTCCAAGGTTGCTATGACAACGTGCAGTCATGCGCAGGGCCACCCAACATGCGTTGGGGGCCCAGGAAAGACAGAAACGCGTTGCTAGGCAACAGCAAAAGCGCTCAGCGAGTATCACGCTACTCATGCAGCACGCACGCTGGCTTAGGGTATCACGCTACCCTTGCGCTGCGGGGTACCACATTGCCCCTCGCTGGAATCAGACCCGCGCCCCGGATACCTTGCTCTGGCCTCCTGACGGCCAAACTCAACCAACTTGCGCGCTGTGACTGGGGTTGTGCATGCCTTAGCGACATAATGTGGCCCAGGTCGGCAGACTTTCAATTAGCCAAGCGAGCTACTCAGGCCAGGGCGCATGATCACTATTCGCAGCACTTATCGTCCATGCAGCAGTCGGGTTAACAAGATAACAGCCTACTTTGAAGTCAGTTAATACTTAATAGAGATACTAACCTAAACCACATCAGTGTACATATACTTGGGATAGAAGTTTTTTTGTTTTTTTGTTTTTTGTGTACAGTGCACATGCACTTGGGATCACAGTAAGTCCACAGGAACAGAAAAAAACAAAAACAAAAAAAAGACACAAGCAGAGAACTTGTACAGTGCACACCAACTACTAATGACAACAGCCTAGCAGCATTCTTACATTGAAACCAGTCTGGAGAGCTGACTAAACGCGGACGGATGGATGGTCGCCACACGCATGTCTGACAAGACCCTACATGGAAGAAAGAAACAAATACCGCATGTGTTTTTATCATATCCTTGTGCTTACGTCCAATGAGCATTTATGGTTGGTTACCTTTATGGGCAAGGTGCTTTCAGGGATGTACAGAGGGAGTTATGCTGTACTTATTTCAATACTAAGATTTGATTGTTTACGTGACAGAGGCCCAAGGTGTACAGTTTTAAAAGGCAATAACAGTCATGTGAAAATAACCATAATTATGGCTGACATGGGTAGTCGTTATGATGCCAGCTGGGCTGCTAAGAAAAATATACTCTTTTCAGCATTGTCATAACATACATAATACATATGCCTGAACTTAGCTAAATCAGATTCTACTTACAGCTCGCGAAGCTGAGCGTATTCATCGAAGGCCTTCTCCTGGATCTCAGTGGTCATCGTGTATTTGGTGATAATTCTACAGTGACGGGAAGGTAAAAAAGCTGTCATTAGTACAAACACTATAACAGGTACATGTACATGAGCAAGCTGAAATGAATTACCAAAGATACCAGGCTCGACATCGGCAGGAATTTTACTACCATAGTGACGGACATAAAGGTACGTGCGCTTATGAGTGAGTTTTTGAGTTATTTGCTCTTTCTTGCCGGTCGTTTTGCCTCACACATAGGCGCATGCGCTTGAGTTGTTAGTGTACCGGTACCTTGCATAATTACGCACATAGTGCAATGCCGCACTGCACATTGAACTATGTGAATACGGTGTTTTTGTGGTGTCTGTTTGTCGCGGGATGGACCGCATTTAGGTTCACCTATAAGCCCATGCGCTTTTTTGTGAGGGTGTGCTTATGCCCTGGTATAGGCACATGTGCTTATATGCGCGTCACTACGGTATAATCCTGGCACCCTAGTCTACGTTAATCACATATTCTCATAGCCTTCCGCATGGAAATTCTACGAAGCTGACATGCCATAAGCTTATGCGTGACCGGAGACAAAATTAATATCCCTGTTAACAGGCGGGAAACCTGATATTTCAGGGAACGTCAAGAGCAGTTTCCAGAGGAATTTGGACACGATCTTGCTCTGTGTATGATATCTTTTAGAAGTAATGCTACACTCCCTGGTATGGAGGCGGAAGGACAATGAATCTGAATCAAATGAACATCATTACTGCCATCTGCGACGACCGGCGCCACTGGTATGGTGATTATGGACATGGCCATGCTTGAAGGTTTTAAGATCTCAATGATCATGGAATGTCCCAGCGTGTGTAGCCAACAATGTGTGTAAGTACTAAGAACAGAGGATTATCAACATACTTTCCTCACTAGAGTTATTTAATTTCTATATTTCTTTTATTGAAAACCACCAACCTTCAGACATGTGAATGTGCACAGATACAGAGTATACCCGTCTCAAATTGTTCTTCTTATTCTGTGGGAATGAGCGTGCCAGTTATATGACAGGTGTAGCAAAAATGTCCCGGCATCATGCACAGAGCTAACGTTAGAGGCTCATATTCACTATAATTATTGACTTGCATTCATTATGATACTGAAATTGGGCAATGGGCAGTGATTGGCCCTGTAGCCAACGTGAAGCCGTACCACCCCTCAAGAGCTAGCTTTGGGCATTCTGTACGATTGCGTGTATGTACTCTGTAGTTGACGTCACGGACCACTGTATCACCTCTGGAAAAGGTGGTGACTTTCACCTTAGACCTAGTATTTTTCCTCCTCAAGTTTGCACCTTACCACCTGATCCTTGTAGTAATTATGGAGCATGGTGAGCATCCATTATTATGTCCATGAGCTGAGATCATGCAATGGTGTGCAGTGTGATACGCAGTGTGACATGTACAGTCAGTGTATATTTTACCACCACACGAATACAGCACACACCACTCTCCTCAGTTATACTTACAGTGTGAATATCGTCGCAGGCTGACCACTTGTCTTGCTCAGTGCACCCAGGACGTCTTGCAAAGTATTTGTCGTCGAACCGTTGCAGATCACTGCCGGCTGGGCTGAACTGTAGACCCGACTGCGATTGTAAGAGCTTTCACACGTGCACTCCGTTAGGACTGGGGCAGAGCAAGCTAACTGACCGTCCGCTATGCTGCACGCAACCACTAGCGCTGCTGCTGCTGCAAGAACCATCAGCCTCTCCATGTTTGCTCGATTTGAGGAGACCACTATGTTTTCTTGGTTTGAGCTCACGTTGGCTTTTCACAACATTGCTAATCCTTGTTCTACTGTCGAAGATCGAGTCATACTTAGTAGATATAGCCCAGTTGTGACTATTTCCAGGCAGCTTCTACTGATCTCTTCAGAAGCATTGAAATTTATAATTGGCAATACACCTAGAACCAACATCGCTACACGGAGCGTTTCAAAAAATAGTTTCATTCAGAGGAAGAGCGCTCCACAACCCTTGGCATGAGATCCCGACAGTTGTAGACCTTACATGTGCCAGATACGACCTTCAAGACCACCCATTCCGTACTGACGTCGCCAAGCTGAGATGCCTGTTGGAGCGACACGGTATGCATTCTGCCAGCTAGTAGACGTCTGAAGTCTTTGCCATTCCAAGTCCGAGTCAGGGGCTGCTGCACACGGACTCCGTGCACGTGCAGGTAAGGAGCACGCCCACAAATAATTTAATTTTGAATGTGCACGTTCATTGTAGAATCTACATGGCATATGGCAGCTTGAGACGGTAGGAGAGGCAGGCCGTATACCGTAGCCCATTATGCATGGCATAGTAGACAGATAGATGACTACTAATTGATTTTTTATACTACATGTACATGAGTTGTAACGAGGGAGTACTAAAATACCCTGGTGCACAGTACGTATATTACAGTCATAAACTGTAGTAGTTGGTACAGCGGTAGAAGCCTGCACGCAGACGGTCAGTGTTCTCTGACATGGACGTTGGGAAGGCTACGTTCATTTCGGTATTGACCGTACTACTTTTCGCCTCCTGCAGTGAATTTTTCATTAAAATGAAAATAATGTCACAGTTACAGGATGATCCTTGAAGGTCGGTCAGAGTTCTCATTGTCTCCCGAGTCCTGATGATTGGCTAGAGCAAGAAACTGCGTGTAGAGACGAATTCCACTGGACCTTGTGTGCATGTGTGTGTGTGTGGGGGGGGGGGGGGGGGTGGGGTGGGGTGGGGGGGGGGGGGTGTATTTGTAGTCATAAACATAAAAAGCACGATTAGCAGTGGAGTCTTGTATTACTGCCCACTACGCCTAAAGTAAAACGTCAGTGTACTGCACATTCTAACATTCTAGGGACGTAAAAATCAGTGCCTCGAAGCCAAGCTCCTTTAGGCTCTACATGGACAATGTTCTCGTATATCCAAGGTGACTGGGAAAGGATGTGCTAGGTCTTCGAATCAAGACTTACTGATTATCCGAAGTAAAGTCAAAAGTATGTTGTATCCAATGTGCTGTATACTGAAAGTATACTGTTCAAGCAAATGTTCACCTGTCCTGGCCGTGTGTTACTTACCAGGTTTGAAGGATAATGCTCGAAAATTGACAAATTCTGCGCGAAAAAAGTGACATAATTGGCAGAACCACACGACGCTGATGGTAGGCAACACTGCGAATTCTTCTCTCCTTCTTTGTCGATATAACAGACATGCCTGAAATGGTGAAATCGAAAAGTACAATATGCTACAGGTGTTGTCTACCGGCATGAACCCCCAAGGGTATTTTCCTACACACAGTATGGAAAAGCACACATTCAGCCAGTTCTCGACTTCTCTACTTCAGTACACGAGGTTGAGGTCGCATGTTTGAAGAACAGAAGTACTCGACACTGACGACAGCTCGAAGTGAGAAGATAGCGCCTTTTAATCCAACTCACTTAAGGTGGCAGTCTGGGTTCGCGGCCCGACCGCATGAACACAGCCGTAACTTCCATAATAATTGATGAATTTTGCTCAAATCTTGACCACATACCCAGTGTATTTCACTAAGTCCAATGAAGTATAAATCAAGCTCACACATGGGAATCCGCAGACACAATAGTCAAATCTGCGATTATGCCGTACCACCAATACCTTAGACGCAATATGCAAACGCAGAAAGAAGCTGGGTAGAAACTGAGTGCTCCACAGGATTTCCTTCACATATACCTAGGTGCTAAGTGGAGCGGAATTTTGAAATCATATTCAGAACAAAGTACTCAAGCTGTCAAACAAAAATCATGCAATCGCGCAAAATTTAGGTCCTCGATCAGTAGCACTTTACTCAAAGCTACTAGACAAATATAAAAATCCATGACACTTAGCACCTTGATAAATGCTCACAGTTTCCAAAAATGTATGGTTTATGGGGTCTGTGACTTACAGGTTCTTCGCTACGCTGTCTAAGAGGTACGGGACTCAGTGGAAAATGGAGAAAAAAAGTGCTCTGTGCAAGTACAGATGGAGGTATGTCTGTCCAACTAGAACTTACTAGAACTTAGTCGAAGCCACCAGCTTCATATGTCAAACCTTCTTCCTCTTGCTGCTCATCCTGGATGCCTTTCCTGATCCTCCTTCGCTTCTTTCGTGACCTCTTCCCTTCTTCTGACTTCTTTCTGGCAGCATGTGCCTGTCTCTCACGGTCTAGCAGCTTGATGAGACGTGTCGTATGGTGTCCAGTAGGGAGGCCCATCTCGTCCAGAACGCGTTTCACTGCCACACCTCCATCATTGAACCAGGCCACGGCCAGGTAGACGCACATCTGGACAGTGGGAGCGGATGCAAAGCCTGTCTTTGGACACAACTGCCACACGAGTCCATTGAACGCTTCGTTGCGATTCTGCGTAGCACCCTTCTGGCAGCGCTCGAGCAAACTCCGGTCGGACAACCGAATGTAGACCGGCTTCAGTTCCTTCCATACTGCCTCTGGCAGGATATTGTGGTGGGCGTAGACATCACCACCTGCCTGTTGCTGCTGCCATCTACACCAGCTGTTAATTCCAGGCGGACAATACTGGTGCTGAGGTTTACTGTCGCTGGATGCACGATGCATGAGGGATGCCCATATGGCCCTGGCCATGGCTTGCAAGTCTCCGCTGTTGTTCCGCACAGCCATGCCATAGTAGGCTTGCAGCTTGTCGATCATGGCATCCGTGAGGCGACCACGTCCGCCTATAGTGCGCCCATCAGCAAGCTTCTTGCCCGCAAGGTTTTTCTTCAGCTTTCTTAGGCTGGTACCGATGCGTTTTTGAACGTGGCCGACACATTCCTCCTTGACTACAGGCACCTCGGGCCCATACGGACAAGCGTCACGCACAGCCTTAAAACTCTTGGTATCTCCATCACCAATGTAGGTGGTGTACCTCAGCTTGCGGCTCTCAAAGGACCTGGCCCACAGAGTCTTGGCGGCTGCACTCTCCATGGCAGGAGCTGATACAGTGGTGTTGACTGAGCAATCGTGTTCGGCAATCTGTCGATCATAGTCATCTTTGGTTAGCTCTCCCTTCTCTTTTCTAGACGCCAAGTGCGTGCACTTGTGGCAAAACTTTGAAAGCACTTCGCAGTCCACCACTTTGCCGACATCATATGCAATTATAGTGAAGGCTCCGAAGAGCGATGCGAATCCTCGGCGCATCCAGGTACCGTCATAGGAAGCAGCGATATCGCTACCCCCATCTGCTGCGGACACTGCTTTCTCAGCTGCCTCAGTCATGCTACGCTCAGCGACGCTCTTGGACGCGGAATGCAGGCCTTTAGCATGGCTGTAAAATGTCGACCGACTCATAGGTGATGGCATATTCAGTGCACCCGCCAGCTTTACCATTGATTGACGTCCACGGCCAATCAGTCGCATTCCGAATACTGCTCGTCTGTTCACCTCCCAGACCCGATTGAACTTCTTGGACATAAATTCGCTTGCTATGTCGCCGCAGTTAACACAGGAAAGCTCCAGGCATGATGCAAGGCCTCCCCATTGCGATTCGCTGATCGTGACTGCGCCATTACAGCCACTGCAACAAACTGCAGCTGACAAAAGCTGCTGAAGGCACTCGAGATCAATCAGGCGAAATCCATGCGCCCCTTCCTCACACTCTTCATCCAAGTCACTGTCGGAGGAACTGCTGTCGACTTCACCGCCACTTCCATCACTATCGCTGTTTGAAGACGTGGCTTCAGCTGACACTTCAAGGTCGTCATCAGACAGTGGCAAGTCAGGAATTTGTTTTGCAGGCGAAATTTCACCAGAGGGAGCCTTCGGCGCCTGAGACACTCAATAGAACGTTCTTTTCCTTTTCTTAGATCGTCCGGGCTTTCCCTTGGCTCTAGACTTCCCCATAGTAGCCAACGAAGGGGTTAGCTCCAAGAAACAATTACTCCAAAACAATTACTCCAAAAGTAACTAGTTTCAACAGCAGAGCGATCAGCTGAGATCATGAGAGTCGAAATTTGAATTTTTTTGAATTTGCGCATGCGCAAAAGTTATCTTGGTTGCCATGGTGACAAAGATCGTGCGCGGCTGTCAGTCTGCAGCGCAGAGGAGTACCAGGAGTCGCTCCAGAAAATTTTAATGAAATCGCTCAAAGATTGACGGTAAAAATCGGAATAGTGTGCAAACCTAAATTTTGTAGAAATTTGCTGATATTTCAGTATTTCAAAAACAATTGTGCAGACTTTGCGCGGCTATATCTCCGGAAGGAAGCACCCGATTACGCTCAAATTTTCAGGATAAACCCTTTGGACCATACACAAGACGCTGCCAGTGAAAAAATACAGAAAATCGAAACTTTGTTTTTTGACCCTCTGAACCCAGACTTAATAGACCTGAGAAGAATTATACATGTACATGTACATGCTTAGTGCTGTAGACAGCAAACGACATGTCTAGGTAAGGCATTGATGAGATGTGCTTCCGTGTGAGCCACGAAAAAAAGGCGAGATTATGAAGAAGATGTGGTACTTGGAAAGAACGTTAAAGAAGAGTAGGAATTTATGGATATGATGAGCAATATCACAGAAAGGTAAAGTATGTAAGTCACTATAGCCTAGGACCTAGATTAGATGAAGAGCCAGCACAAAACTCTACTGTGAAACAGCACCACCGAAATCGGGCACTTGAGCTGTTGCGTCTGTGTCAGTAGAGTCGGTCGGAGCGGTGGTCAGTTCCTCAGCTACGGTAGTGGCAATGGCAACATCTGGAGCGAGCACATCGGTGAGCACTGCCATCGCATCAACACTACCCATACCCCTCCTGGCTGCCATCCTCGCCGCCTTCTTGGCCGCCTTCTTCCCTTTCTTTCCCTTCTTGGCAGCGCGACGCTCACGGCTCTGCTCCAGTGTGTTGGCTGGGCAGATGAGAAGCTTATCTCCGGGTGGTGGTCCCGCTGCAGCATTTGTCAGAGCGTCACTGGGCTCGGCCTCGCCTGCAAGCTTCAGGATGCTGAGCGTGAACTTGGTCGTGTCGGTCAACTGCTTGATGGGCTTGCATTTACCCTTCTTGCTGAATGTCACCTCGCCCTCGTCGCCAACAGTCACTTGCCTGACGCAGCACTGGCGAGGATTGCAGTCGTTCTCCGTCTTGCAGGTCGATGACCGAACCTTGTTCACCCTGTTGAGCAGGCGCGCTAGCTTCTGCGAATCAGTCCATGAGAAAGCAAAGAACATGTATAGCACAAATTCAATCAAGATAATTATTTTCTGACTGCCGCCTCAGTATTTCACTTGATGCCCGCCCGGCTGTGCCCCGGGGAAAAAATCCCCTCTGATCAGGCCGGCAGGTTGTGTGCCCTAGATTGTACATGTATGTAGAGTACCGGGATATACAGATGTACAATGTAACGTAACGATCATGTACATGTACACACAGTCCAGTAGGGCTCACATCAATTATTACACAATCTCTGTTGCCACTCCGAGTTTCACGACCGTCTAAGTCAGTCGTCAGGCAACATACATGTAATGACTGAGACATGGGCATGCAGATCACTGCAAAATATACCCAGAACTGCAGCAAGCGCAAGAGGAAAACACACAGAGGATTGCGGGCACCTACTCAAGTGGCAAGGCAAGGGGGGGGGGGGGGGGTTATCACACTGCTGACTGGGCTGTGAAGTGTGAACGCAGGTACTACAATCATGTACATGTAAGTGTTCAGCTGCGGTTACTAATGGCGAAAAGTAGTGGTGTGGACAACACTTTGCATACTGGTGTCCACGAGGGACTAGCATTTCTAGGTGGCAGGGTCGCAAGCCAAAGCCGGTGGCAAAAAATGTGTGGAGTATTCACACAACACTATGGGGAGTATATATTAGTAGCAGTCAGGCATGCAGTCCGGTCACGGTGATGTCATTCGAAACATGTGTGAACTGCAAGAATAATTTGACCGCTGCAATGGCATTCCGATGAACACTGGGCTAGCTGAGCTAACCGTGAATGTAACATTCCTAACAATGAGAATGTACCGAGGTATCTGCATTGATCGTGGGGTCAAAACGACTAATGTTCCTTCTGCTTACCGGGTTCATTGGCCTTGCTCCAGCATCGATGACACAGAGTGCCAAGGACAAAACTGCAAATATCAGAGAAACCTTCATGGTGGTCAACTGCGGGAGACTCAACTCGCAAGGTACGTTCTCTGTACGTTCAGAATACTGCGAGCTATGCTGACAAAGGAATATCTCTTCCTGCGCCTTCCACACAAATCGTTCAATGACGCTGGAAGAAGCTTCTTGGTCTCTATCATGGAAGAAAAATTCTCGGCTGATTATAAGGTGGCTATCTGCTTGACAGCTGTCCCGCTATGATATTATGCATAGTCCGAACGTGCTTGTCCCGTGTTCACCTCATGTGACTTACCAGCCATCCCGAAACCGCGCCTGTGAGGTACTCTGTAGCTGGCTACAAGGCGAGAACAAACATGTTGCCCTCGCCGTGTAGGCTACTCAGGTCTAGACCAAGGATCCGTGTTATCCTGTCTCTAGTCTAGAACTCCAGCACAAGGGTCAGCCAAGATCGAGTTCGGAGTAGAGTTGTCATGGGCTAGGTCCATCTGCCAGTTCCATTGTCCCATTGAGTAGCATAGACCAGCATATTTCATTGGCCTGTCAAGTAGAGCACTGAAAAGGCGGAGGTGATCACGCATCCCACTCGCACAGAGTTTACCATATCAGGTTATGATCCGCAGCAGTTTGCTCCTGCCAATGCATTTTAGTGGTCCTCCGGATAATGTCATTCACGAACTAGCTGACAGCATGGCTTGAATTGTACCACTGTGTTCTAATGTTACTGTCTTATACTTCAGTTATAGTAATGTCACTACCGTGTTATCTGCATGCTCGCAAGCATTTCTGGAAGTGTACCAGGTACACATGCCAGGTAGATGTACTTCTTTTGTATGTACCGGAACCAGGGAGTGGTCTGATTACGAATCCCTGAACCCGTCACGCATCCGAAAGCCAACTTGAAATGTTCCCGTGATCTGTACGCATGTGGGCTCTAGATTAGAATTGAATGGCAAGATAAATAACCACTAAAAGCTTTACACGTACATAATTGCTCCCCGCCATTTACAACAGATGTTCAAAAGCGGGATAAATAACCACTAAAAGCTTTACACGTACATAATTGCTCCCCGCCATTTACAACAGATGTTCAAAAGCGGAATTGGCAAAGAAACCAAGACCTCAATGTCGGTGGATTCACTTCTGCCTCGTCACCACGCTGCAGCGTAATCAACCATCATGCAACTGAAGTACATAATATACTTCGAAGTAAATCTGAATTTGATGGGTATGCGGTTTCTAGTACAAAAGACCCCTGGGCCCAACGGTACGCTTCAGTGCCCTCGTGAATAGGGGTAAGCGGATTATGCTCGGGAAATGACCAGATTAAGCTCTAGCGGATGCTCTAGCGGATGCTCGAGAAAATAGCCTATTAAGCTTCACCAAAAAGACCAAAGAACAGATAATCGCAATGAAAAAAGGACTCAGACCATTCTCATTATATGAACTGGGAGCTTCGTGGAAGTTACAAGACAATAATATGCAAGAGGAATACCAAATTCACAAGCAAACGCTGAACTTTTGGGAGATGTCCTGTAGTGGCTGCTAAAATAATATTATTCCAAATCGCCAAGAAGCGCTATGTATGGTCCTTCAATAGAAGATTACAACAGCCTCATTGAGCATCTGCCCTTGTTTTTCGGATGCAATTTTATGCTCCCTCTAAAAAAAGGATCTGATTATGCCAAAAATTATGCCGGTATAATCCGCTTATCCCTACTAGTGAAGCAACTCAGAGAAGATACTTTGTGAACATAATATTTTCAGAACGAGCTGAACCGACATTTCATTACAATTTTTTGTTCATCATTTCTTCCATATCACATTTTTTCTTTCTTCCATGTTCTTCACTGCCTTCGTATCCACTCGTTTTTTGAATATAATAATATTTTCAAAGTATCTTTTCTGAGTTGCTTCATTATATCAAAAAAGAAAAGGCGCCTTCGGACGTGGAAGGAGAAACCTTGCTATGAATGCAGATTGCGGTACCAATCCTACATGTACATGTACATGTAACTAGTTGCTTGCACATTTGAGAGTTTACGCTTCAGTTAAAAAAATTAGAACGTGAGATCTCACGGCCAAAATAGCGCTCCTCACGTTGCAACGCGTGAGATTTCAACGCGACAGACGGACAACTCAATTTGAAAAAGGCTATTCAAGTTTTCAACCCACGTTTTTTCTCACGTCCGAAATTGAAAAAACGTTAAGCGTGACCTCTCTATTGTCTTTTAGAGCACGTTAGAGGTCAGTTGCTGCCCAAAGGTAACAGAGCATTTAATAATGTAAATTCGAGCACGACATATGTTTTTTATTTATTTATTTATTTCTGCACCTCGTGGCATGTCAAGACAGCCAATTGAATTGAGGAGAGGGTGAGACCAACCACTTAAGAAGAGAAAAAAGAATTTCGAGGAGCACGTACACAAAGGGGGAAGGGATTAGCAACTTACAAAGCAATGGGATGCTCAGCGAGCTATGCAGCGGAAGCGGTGACTGTGATTTTGTTTACTGGGAGATACTGAAGTGCTGTCTGACAAGGGTACGGAATTTGGGCATATCTGGAGCTTGTCTAACACTGGGAGGCAATTGGAGCCACGTGGAGTAGGAGGAAAAGAAAGGGGAATTTACGAATTGGGTAGACCTAGCTAGGGGAGACGAACGCAGCTTCGGGTGGTGCCACCTGGATAAAACCAATTAAGGGACTGTAAATGAGCAGGGTGCACTTGGAAGCATCAAGGTAGTGTTGCAGAGTGGTAGTGGATGCAGCAGCATACAAGTCTAGATTTGAGATATAACGATCAGTACGAAATATGATGCGCAGTATACGGCGATGGAGAACTTCTAATTTACCTATGTGGGTTTTGTTAATGGTGGACCAGGCAGGGAAGCCGTACGTGAAGGGGGGGGGGGGAGAATGTATGATTTATAAAAATTTAGCCGGCAATTTTTGGGCAAATGGGACAAGTGACTTGACATTATGCCGACAGATCGGCACACTTTGGACGACACATGATCAGCATGGTGAGACCAGGAGAGGGCGGAATCTATGACAATGCCAAGGTGTTTATGGTGGGGCGCTACAGAGATAGGGTGACCGGGATCATCGGGGAAGTGGACGATGGGTACTGGATCTGTGGGAAGGGGAAAAAGGAGGAGCTCGGTTTTGGTCACATTTGGCTTATGGTACCAAGTGCTCATCCAGTGAACAATGTCGTTGATACAGGTCTGAACTTTGGGGTACAGGGTGGCGTGAGATGGGGAGGAAGCAAGGACAGTGGTATCATCTGCAAACAAAGAAATATTGGGTATTGCATAGGGGAGGCCATTAACGTATGTGAGGAAGAGCAGGGGACCTAAAATGGAGCCCTGGGGCTCCATTTTAGGTTCCCTGCTCTTCCTGACATACGTTATACTCATGCAGGCAGGCATAGTGGGATGGTCTAAGGCCACGATTGAGAAACAGACGGCGCCAGGCTCAAGTTCTGCTTGGAAGCGGAAGGATTTTTTCCAACTGTGCTGCGACCCACAATTAACTTGTGGCCTGGCACGAGGGAAGCATGGACGTAGCGACTGAGGTTTTCTGTCTTTGCCCACTTTGCTGGTAGGCTGATCTACTCACCTCCCACCGCTTTAGTAACTGCATCTGCGCCTTAGATCTTTGCATGGTGGTGGGGTTCCTACGGATGCTGAAAACTCAGTCCGAGTCCCAAGCGAGCCGTTAAAAGTACATGTTATTTGTTTTCAATTCTACTCAACAACTTCCCAAATCTCTCGGCATCCCTCTACAAAAAAATATTGCATACCACCAATTCCCATTGACCCAGCGCATACATGTACTTTAGGTACCATGTGAGAAGACCTTAGGGTCTCCTGGGAAGGCCCAAGTAAATCCAATGCGATACTAACAGAATGTTACTGGCATTATGCTGTAATCCTTTCTTGAATTCACTCAGAGCACTGGCCTTCTCACCGTCATTCTCCAGCTACAACCAAACAAAGAAAAACTCGTGACAGAACATGACTATCTTAGACCAGTCGTGTGGTCTAACATGATATCACGCTTTCAAGTAGGCGAGAAGCGAGCAGTGTAAAGGGTGAAGGTACATGTAGATACACTGTACGCGATTTACAATGTACATTGTACATCTAACTAGTATAGTTGAAATACATGTCGCGTACATTGACGTCCCTGGCGTAAAACGGGTGGGGTATGAGAATTGGGGGTCTTGGAAACAGGGCACTGGAGTCTATTACACCATAATAGAATAGTAATTGCATTATTACTCAATCTGCATTACATTATTACAAGTACATTATATAAGTTGGTAGGAAACATGGTTGGGCTTTGTGCAGTGCTTCTCTGCGTGCATGCACCTAATGAGTCCGGCAGCAGGGATGTGTAAAGGCCACGAGCATAAAAAATTATGCTTTCAAAGAACTCCAGCAAGCACAGCTCCATGTGCAATCTTGTGGCCGGACTTGCAAGGAACTTACTTGAAGAGTTTAAAATTACATGTATGTGTATGTTCTCAATAGATACAAAACGTGATCACAATAGTTCACAATGCCAGGACACCATCACTATTCACTATAGTTCATCAGTCTTATCCGCCTGATTCATCAAAGTCCTACTGGAAGCGACAATCACAATTTTGGGCCATACGTTTAATTAACCGGATGGTGTTTGACCAGCACCTGAGCCGGAACCCGCTCCAAGGCCTGGTCCGGGGCCAGACCCAGATCCAGCAGCTCCAGACCCAGGTCCAGCTCCAGGGCCAGGGCCAGGTCCACCTCCAGGTCCACGTCCCGGTCCACCTCCCTGTCCACCTCCCTGTCCACCTCCAGGTCCACTTCCCGGTCCACGTCCTGGTCCGCCTCCCTGTCCACCTCCCGGTCCTCGACCCGGCCCACGACCTGGTCCCGGCCCATATCCTGCACCAGGTCCAGGTCCTGCACCAGATCCAGATCCCAACCCAGCGCCAGGGCCGAATCCAGGTCCATGGCCGAATCCAGGTCCATGGTCGAATCCAGGTCCAGGGCCACGTCCACGTCCTGGTCCATATCCTGGTCCACGTCCAGGTCCAGGCCCCTCACCAGATCCGGATCCTAACCCAGATCCAAATCCAGGGCCGAATCCAGGCCCAGGGCCGAATCCGGGACCACGTCCAGGTCCACCGCCAGGTCCACGTCCTGGCCCACGTCCTGGCCCGGGTCCACCTCCAGGTCCACGCCCAGGGCTGCGACAAGGTCCAGGTCCTGACCCAGGAAACGGTCCATTGCCGAAGCCAGATCCGAAGCCAGAACCAGAACCGAAGCCAGAGCCGCCAGATCCTAAGCCAGAGTCCGGTTGGTCGCCAGAACCTGGGCCTGCTCTTGGTCCAGGGCTGAAACAAGGTCGACGGCGTCTCCGAATTCGGGCAATGGCTACATCCGGTCCCAGCACATCAGGAAGCAAAGAATAAGCACTGACGCCTCTCCTGCCATACTTCAGGCCCCTTTTCTTTGGAGGAGGGCGCGGTCGCCATCGGAATTCTTCTAGTGAAAATGCTGGACAGATAAATAGGAGGTCGGCCCCGGGCGGCCTGGATACAGCTCTTTCCAGGGCGAAGTCAGGTTTGAACCTGGCCCCGAGATCCAGTACTTTCAGTCTGAACCTCCTCCTGTTTGTCAGCAGGCGTACGGGCACGCATTCACCTTTCTTGCTGAAAGCCACACTGCCATCCCTAGCCACGTTCACGTCTCGCACACAGCAATGGCGACGCCTGCAGTCGTTCTCAGACTGACACAGCTTGCCGAAGTACTTTTTGGCTCTCTTGACTCTTCTGAGCGGCCCGAATCCCTGCACAACGAGAGCAGTCAAAAATGCAATAGGTCAATTGCAAATCTTCCGTGCGAAAGTGTGAGTGTTGAGCAAAAAAAAACAGTTAAACGTTTTAAAAAGCATATTAGAATGAGCTCAGATTCTGAGCCAAGGTCCAGTCCGATCACATGTAGACGATGAGAGCTTATGAAAAAGGTTTCTAACCGTTCCACAAAATACTGGTTTGTGGTCGAATGACGGAGAAATTGTGATATGCTCTACATTTTTTTTATTTAAAAACATTATATACTCTACTGCTCTACTACTACTAACTGCTACTGATCATAATACCACAGCACGCGTTGTGATACAATTACATGTATGTGAGCACAACAATGCGTTCCGCTTCTGTCCCATCCATTGCGAATTCCACTCCTGATGTACCATGTAAAGTTGTAAACACTTTTGAATTACAGTTGGCTGGTGCCCTGTGACCCCAGATCAATGTGTACTGCCTTCAAAAATAGTACAATGTACTTCAGTATTTTCAATTCATGTAACTTAGTTGTCTTTGTGTGCGGCACTCGTCTTGCTGAAGACAAAAATGAATGACTACTGGGATCATCAATACTTTAGTTGGAACACACGTTCCACATCAAGAGCCCAATCATCCACCTGCGCTACCGCGGCTGGGCTCCGCTGAGTCCGCAACTGTGAAGCATTACAACGCGGAAGTGGCTCATTGACCTCAAATTAATTACCGGCATTAAAAACGGCTTGCCTCTGGAGGCTTGAGTTGATTCTGTTTCTTCTTATCACCATAGCGTTTGTACATGTACATGACGTATATGATGTGGCAGTTTAGTAATTCAAGTACTTATAAGTAGCAGGTTGCATTGGTTCTAGCTTACGTCACTTGAGGTAAAAGCTCGAAACCTGCTTTGCGGAATTCTTGAGTACTAAAACTAGTGGCTCGGAGCTTAAAGTTAGTTTGCAGTTTTAAGACTGTAGCAGACGAGTGACAAGAGAAAGTAAACTCCCAGGGAGATAAGTAATTACTTTATCGCGAACTGTTTTTGTTGAAGAAGAGGTTGGTGCGACTTCGGCGATAGTAGGGGAAGAGTGTGTTGCTCCCTACATGGGACGTCGCGGTTTTCCTGCCGACTTAATTCTCACTTGACTGACTCACGACTGCCATGTTTTTGTTGATTTTATTCTATTGGTGGTAACAGCATTATGGCTGCATAGTGCACACACCACATACATGTAGTGCCTATTCTACCTACCCGCTAGCTGTTTCTATTCCCATGACTTACATGTACATGTACCTGTCATATTGCATCACACTATCGTGTACTACCGTGTTTGTGTGAAACACAGGTTGGATAGGATACGTTGTATAATCTCAATGAGAACATGCAGTTGATCCGAATGACGCTGAGCAGGCGTTACTAGTATTCAAGCTTTAGTAGATCTACAGGCATTACCTCGAGCACGGGTGTATTTATCTACATGTACATGTACATGTATACTGAAGCACAAGTATGCTCGGATAAGAAGTATCTCGGATGCTAAGTACACTTTCCTGGCACCCAAGACCAGGTAATGGGAATACATGTACATGTACATTGTATGTCCCATAAGAGTTCTTCTAATTGTCCTGAGCATAATGTCCACGGCTTTGCACTGACGTTCAATAATAATTGAAAAAGAGGACATAACATACTAACATTTCTAATGTGTATACTACAGACTCTTAACTTTACGCCAAGCAAAATACGTACCGGACGACGAGTCGGTTTAGGGTCACGACCTGGTCCGCGGCCTGGTCCACCGCCTGGAGATTTTGGCCCCGGATGAGCACGAGCAGCTTCCAGAACACAGACAGCCACCAGTATTGCAGTTAATGTCAAAGCCAACCTCATGGCTGAAAATTTGGCGAAGACGGCACTAACGGTGTATATGGAAACATCTATCACCAGCTCTCTTGCTCAAAGCGCATGGCTCCGCTTTCGGAGATTCACTTAGCGCGAAGATTACGAACAGTTGAATATAAAGCCGACCGAACCGTTTGCCGATGGTCTTTGGTTGGTGATGGTTGATGGTGTCCGGGCCTCCGTGGCCAACAGACGTGAAGAGCTCGGTGTCCTTTGCGTGTCTTAGCCATCGCGTGCAACCTGGACCCAACAAAATACGTCCTGAGTGCATAATACATGTGCTATGTTCTGATGTTGTTACTGATGAACTCCCGGCATGACAATCATACACGCTCCACGCCACAAGCCCTACTGCGATACTAGTAATCCGGCTGCGGCATTTCGATCTCTTTGTCGCTCATATACACAATCATGTATCCGGCCGCATTCCAGTGCCAGTGATGGTGCCAGCCTATTGTTTCGAGTTCTTTTAATTATTTTAACATCATAATCAATGAAAGAGTTCACGTGCCGCTGGTAGTAGTACTAGTAGGCATAGGGCCTAGGGGTGATGTCGCTTCACATCACCGGATGCAAATAATGCTTTACTGTTGGATCTTTGTGCCAACCTGTCCGTACGAATTATGTACAATGCTGTTAATCACATTGTATGGTATGAAGTCTGAGTGTATTTTCTCCAGGCCTACGTGCATACACGTACCATCCTCATCACACGACATGGTATTTCAATTCAACATTAAGTAAATCAGCGAGGACAATGGTTCATAAAAGAGTACGTCTGAGTCAGGGTATCACCGATGAAAACAACCTTCATGATTGTACAAGTACATACAAATCGAGATACTAAATCAGCTCCCAATTCGTAGCGCAGGCAACATTACTAGTGCAGGCATGACCGTCTCAGACAGAGAACAGGCGACTGCATCATCTCCCCTCAGGGGAGACCTGGGGCGCATTTGCAGATGCCACCCTTTCAATGCTGTTGCCTTCTCCATGATTCGCTCACAGGGTGCCATTTCATGTTTCCCATGAATCAGCGCGGTACTACAGTCATCTCTTTGGCACTCTTCCAAGTGTGGACATCAAGGTGAAATTATTGTAAAAAGTATTGGCAGCATAGGTCAATTGCTAGCTGGCTATTCGTTTTTCCTATATTGTGTACATACTATGCACAGTAAGTGTGAAAATGCGAAAATGCGTCCCGTATGCCACTTGTCTCTGTCATTGGAAAGTTGGAACAGTACTGCTTGTTCTGTTATGTAATGTTATGTCAAATGGTAGAACTACTTGTGCATGTGACAAGTACACTCGTGTACCTGCACTTGGAAGAGGATGGCATCTCTGCTCGTGTGCTCAAGATGTGCTCATCTGAACTTGCAGACCCACTGGCAAAGCTCTTCGCCCTCTGCTTCTTAGCCGGTGTGCAACCTGGGGCATGGAAACTTGCCCATGTAGTCCCAGTTCATAAACGGTCCTCCAGATCTTTGGCATCTAACTACCGACCAATATCACTGCTAACGATCATGTCGAAAGTCATGGAGGGCATTGTAAACACGCAACTGGTTAACTACCTAGAGAAGCATGAGGTGTTGCCAAACAGCCAGTTTGGATTCCGACGTGGTAGAGGAACCGCAGATATCTTAACGGCTCTCCAACATGAATGGGTCCACACCATAAGTACTGGCGGTTGTGTCCAGGTCCTCGCCGTGGATATTGCCGGTGCGTTTGACCGGGTATCGCACACAGGAGTGCTGTACAAAGCAAAGCAGGCCGGCGTCGACGGACGCCTGCTTGTATGGCTACAGGACTACCTCACCAACCGAAACATCCGCGTTGTGGTTGGAGGCCAGACGTCAGATGCTCAACCCATCCAGGCTGGTGTCCCCCAAGGCAGCATCCTAGGACCCAGCCTCTTCCTTCTATACACCTGTGACATTGAACAATGTTTAACTCCAGGAACGCAGCTGAGCAGCTTTGCAGACGACACCACACTCTACAGCTTAGTACAGCCAACGGACGATCTCCAACAGTCCACCGCCTCCCTCCAAGGGTCCCTCAACAGTCTTGAGGAGTGGGGCCGCAAGTGGCCAGTGGCGGGTTTAGGGGGGGGCGCGGGGGGCGCGCGCCCCCCCCTCAAAAATTTCGACCTAGGTTTCGAAAAATAATACAGGGCGCGCGCCAGGTCGAGCTAGACTAGGCTCGGGGCGCGCGCGGCCTGAAACGATTGTCCAAAAGCGGTTGCACGGTGCGGTGCTCGAGCTGGTGTTGATTGTACACACTACAGACTACAGTACACTGTACAGTCTACAGAGCTAGAGTAGAGTCTACGTACAGTGAGCATGCACGGCTACAGAAACACGGTGACCTGACTGTGTACTGTTGTACAGTGTGATCCCTGCTGGGACGCGCTCGACGCGTCTTCAACGGTACAAACATCGAAGAAAAGTCTTCGATCGAGTCAACCAAAACACGATTCGAATGCCGAGGGCTCAGGCGATCATCCTCGTTCGAATCGTGTTTTGGTTGACTCGAAGGCTTTTCTTCGATGTCTCAGGGACATCCCAAAAGGCCAAGCTCTAGCCAGCAGAGCCTGGAATTTTTGTAAAGCGTTCCTGTGGCGGCGCAACTCCTGCTGCCGCTCCAACAGGAAAAACAGTGGGAGTGATGAAGTCGCTGTTATTCCAGACAATCCAGTTGAACTTTCGGAGCGGACTGACAGTCAAACTCCGCCAGACGTGGAAGAACCTGTTGTCAGCGAGCAGCCAGAACATAAAGAACAGCGCACAGTGACAAGTACCGCTGCCTATGTAAAGGATACTTTGAGAGCGGTGAGAAATTGTTGGACTCGCAAATTTGAAGTTTACAATGTACATTTTGTTGCTGCGTGTACAGAAATACTGCTCGTGGTGTGTGAGATTTACGGCTTGTTGTTGTTGTTGTTGTTGTTGTTGTTGTTGTTGTTGTTGTTGTTGTTGTTGTTGTTGTTGTTGTTGTTGTTGTTGTTGTTGTTGTTGTTGTTGTTGTTGTTGTTGTTGTTGTTGTTGTTGTTGTTGTTGTTGTTGTTGTTGTTGTTGTTGTTGTTGTTGTTGTTGTTGTTGTTGTTGTTGTTGTTGTTGTTGTTGTTGTTGTTGTTGTTGTTGTTGTTGTTGTTGTTGTTGTTGTTGTTGTTGTTGTTGTTGTTGTTGTTGTTGTTGTTGTTGTTGTTGTTGTTGTTGTTGTTGTTGTTGTTGTTGTTGTTGTTGTTGTTGTTGTTGTTGTTGTTGTTGTTGTTGTTGTTGTTGTTGTTGTTGTTGTTGTTGTTGTTTATTTTACTTCACCAAATGCCGGAACAGGCAGAGATGCCTTCTCACCTGCCCATAGGACAGGTTCTCACAGAATGATGAAGGGATGATATGCAAGGGAAAACAAGAAATGATAATAATAATAATATAACTTATAAGACAGAAAGGACCAAAAGAAGAAAGGGAAAAATTTATATCAAGAACAATTTCATGGAGTCAGAAATAGAAAGACAATAATTTCATGGAGTCAAAGAATTGAAGGACAATCTCATGGAGTCAAGAACACGTGGTTGATTTTATAGACATGCATGCACAAATGATTGATAGATGAGAAGGTTGGAATTTATGGCAGATAATAAAAGTTTAACGAGGACAAAGTAAGTATATCAATGGCAGAAAGAGCTTTTCGGAAGGGACCAGGGACACGTATCACCCTAAAATCAGAGGGGAGAGCGTTCCAGAGAATGCTTCCCCAAAACATCATGCTCGATCGTACGCGGCAGTCCCACGGAGAAAGGGAACTTGAAGCAAGTTCGACACTTGTCCCCGTGTGGTGCGCTGATCCTCCGGAACAGTCTCTGGGGCCGTTCGGGTGAATAACTGTCGAAGAAGGGGCTACAGGAGGAGCTTCTTGACATTGGTTTTCAAAATGGCTGATCTGGGACAGTAGCATGATGTCATCTACCCCCACCCCATCCCGCCTTGATCCCAGCCGCAACCCCCCCTCAGCCAAATCCTGGACACGCCACTGGTGGCGTATCTGTTTTGAGCCAGCCAAGACACAGCGCATGACTCTACATCGCAAGCACGTTCCCCCCTGCACTCCACCAGTCACCTTTGGAGGTGAAGCACTCCAGGAGACAGATACCCTGAAGCTGCTGGGAGTCATGCTCGACCCTACTCTCTCCTACAGAGCGCACACTCGCAGTGTTGCACTGCGCGCCTCCCAAAGGCTGGGTTTCCTACGAAAGGCAGCACCCATCCTGGACGACCATGGTCGAGTGACGGTCTACAAGGGATTCGTGCGACCCCTACTTGAATATGCCCCACTGGCCTGGTCGAGCGCAGCCGCAACTAACATGGCCCAGCTGGACAAGGTTCAGCAACGTGCCCTGCATTTCCTGGGACCTGGAACCATCCTCCAAAGTCTTCAGCTTCGTCGGATGGTGGCAGCCCTGTCATACTTGTTCAAGCTGCACTACATTCCAGGGCCTCCCCAGGTAAAGGCCATGCTGCCACCAACCAAGCCCCCTGCCGTAGCTAGCATGTGCACACGGCAAAAACGTCAGACGCACCATGCCTTTCAGCTGAAGTGGACACCCCCTCGCACAGCCCCTGACTACCTCCTGCGATCCTTCCCCTTCTTCGCCATCACACCCTGGAACAACCTGCCTGCGGACCTCCTGCTTCACGAGCCTCATTCAAGACGCCTCCAAACCTTCAAGGTCAACGTATGTAAGGATCTAATCCGAAAGAGATGGCTGTGGTCCACACAGTACCTGTGACGATGATATTGAGATTTGAGACCCATTTAGTATTCACCTCTCTACTACTACTTGCTTGTTATGATTATTGTTCTCTTTCTTCATTTTCCCTTCTGGTTTAGTCATTACACGTATTTATATTATTTGGTGCAATACTAGCGCCCCTTTCTCGCACCAAATTATTATTTTTGCTACCTGACCATGCAACCCCCCCTTTTTTCGATGCCAGGTTGCAACGCTAACGCCGAGACCCCTGGTCGGCCGAGTTGCTCCCTGTACATCGGCACGTCGTCCCTACATCCCCTGTGTCTTGTCTTGTGTTTGTCTCCACATGTCTCTTTGTAGGGCTGTGTTCCCAATAAAAAAATAAATAAAAAAAAATAAAAAAGATATGAACAACCTTCTGCAGAAGATGTGCATGCTGTTC